TACTCATTGCCATCATTTAGTCTGTAATCGCAAGAAAAAAAAAGTAAGTTAAGTACCCTAATTTCCATATTCTATGTGGGATCTGAGCAGACAACAGATTTACACGAGAAACATCAGCAAGAATTTCACCCATAACATCAAGCATGCCTGGAGATGCACACAAGCCCAGCAACAGCCCCTGGACATTGAGAAGTCATATAATACCCTAGGCCAATCCATAGCTGCTTGGTACTTTAACCATAAGCCAGGCACCAGTTGGCTCATGCCTGTAATCTTAGCTACTCAGGAGGCTGAGATCTGAGAATGATTCAAAGCCAGGTTGGGCAGGAAACTCTTGTGAGACTCTTATCTCCAATTAACCACCAAAAAGCCATCAGTAGATCTGTAGCTCAAGTGGGAGAGTCCTAACCTTGAACACAAATGCTTAGGGATAGCATCTAGGCCTTGAGTTCAAGCCCCAGGACTGGCACCAATTAAAAAAAAAAAGTCCCAAACAAAATTTACCTTTGTTGTAGAACAAAGAGTACTGGCATCCTTGATTGTTGGTCTAAACTGAATTCAAGTGAAAGCTCTTCAAAAACAATAGCCCTTTGGGAATCCTGTTCCTGAGTCTGTTTTACCTACAGAAACCCTTCTAGATCTCCCTTCGTATGTCTCAGAACAAGGTCATCCATGGGAGGAACTTCCTCATGACACCCAGTGATGCCTGGGCTGCTGGTGCAGCGGCAGGACCAGCCCCTGAGGGATCATGCCGCCTGCACCCTGCCTGACAAACTGCCAAATGCGCCCAACCAACCCATCACAGTGTTGGTGAAAGAAAACCACACCCAGGGCTGGAGGTGTGGTAGAGCTTTGCCTAGCAAGTTCAGGGACCCAAGATCAACCCCAGTACTGGAAAAAAGAAGGAAAAAAATAACTCATGCACACACAATAAATAAAAAAATAAAAACCCAAGGGAAAGGTAAATCCACAGTCATTCTCAGTAACCATAAAACACATCAACCCTCACCTGAGCTTGAACACGTGTTTCTTCTTCTTGTAGTCAAGGGCCACTTCACAGACGGCTTCCTTCAAACTCACAGGGACCTCGCTGTGGTAAGGGATGCCGGAAGCAGCGGTCTTGGCGTCTTTGTAGAAACCCATTTCTTGGTTATTTATGACACAATATACATTGTGCCAGGACCTATACATAGTAAAGAAAGATCTGTCAATGGCACTTCAAGAATTAAGAATGTGTTTGACATGAAAATGACTATCATGTGACTACGGTGTGACCTCTCATCAAATATACTTCTCTCATTAAAAAATACTGCACTGAGGGCTGGGAAGGTGGCTCAGTGGTAGAGCGCTTGCCTTGCATGCCTGAGGCCCTGGGTTCGATTCCTCAGCACCACATAAGCAAAAAGAAAAAAGCCGGAAGTGGCGCTGTGGCTCAAGTGGTAGAGCGCTAGCCTTGAGCTGAAGAGCTGAGGGACAGCGCCCAGGCCCAGAGTTCAGGCCCCACGACCGGACCCAAAAAAAAAAAAAAATACTGCACTGAGCGCTAAACAACAGGATGAAATTCCTTCAGACTCCTGGGGGGCTGCAGTGGCAACTTTTGAGGGCGCCATCTCTGAATTTGGGGGAGAAATGCGGTCCTGTCTTAAGTAAAGGCACGTTCAGCTCTGCTGGGAAATGCTGGTGCTCAGGCTCTCTGCGATGGGTCAGGCTGGACTTGTTTGAAACATGCTTGGTCTCACGTGGAAGCTCCTCCACTCTTGGTGGCATTGTGTATGTGGTTCAGCCACTTCACAAGGTGGCAGATCCAGAGCCACGAACACTTCTGGGTACCTTTGTTGGACTAAGGTGGCCTTTTCCTTATGTACAGTAAATGGTCATGTTAATTTTTCACAACAAATGCATGAATTTGCATGTATGTCACTGTCAGTGTGAGGGACAGATATAGATAGCACGACCCCATGTAGTGTGCAACCTCCACGACCCTATAATTGTGATCCTCGGCAGTAGTTTATTTGTTAAGCACAAAGACTTTGGAGTCAGATGAGTTTTACATCATCTTTTGCCATTTAATAGATGACCACTGAAAGCACCCATTACAACCTGTTTGATTTGACGTGGTTAAGACCAGAGGAAATGTAACAGGTAGATCCCACAAGGAATCCTACAGAGGAATTATTAAACTTAAGGAAGACTCCTCCATGTAGTAAATTCTTTCTTAGGATGAACTGAGAATGACACTGTATTTCAGGCTTTTCAGTGTCTGTCCCAAGTAGAAGCAAAACCCAGTGGTTACTGCGTCTGTGAAAGCACAGGAGCCTGGCCTCCTCCACCAGGCCGGGCACGGCCAGTGGTCCTCGGTCCTTGCACAGGATACCGTGTCTCCCTGGCTGCTGCGCCTGCGCTGCCCTTACCTGCTTGAGGCTTTCTTGTTGTGGGCCTCCCACTCGTGCTTCCGGTTTAGGAAGCCTTCCATCTGGGCCGCGGGTGTCTCCTGCGTCCTGGCGGGCAGGGTGGCGGCACTCTGGGCTGGGAGTGCAGTCTTGGCCTTGCGGTCAGAGGTCGGGGAGGGGATAGGACTGGACTCTTTGGAGCTCGTCCTCTGTTCAGCAGCGCCATTGACCATTTCGCTGGTGTCCACCGTATCTGTCATCTAGGGACAGCAGAGAGGCCATTTAGCTAACCTCACGAGCCATCAGGCAACTGCATACGCTCTGACTGACTGGCACATGTGGCTGTGTATAAATGCCTGGCACAGATGGAGGCAGTACAGTAAAACCCTTGCATACCCCACAAAGCCAGCTGGACACCAAGGACATTAGAAGGTGGGAATGGATTAAGGGCCGCCCGCTTGCGGGGGAGAATGAGAAAAGCAAAATGCCAGGGTGAGTTTTACTGCACTCTGCTCCCCTGATACCTCCGTTTTCTTGGACATAGCTTAGACCATCTCCTCTTAGGGTTACTTTAAAACAAAAGGACAACAGCAACAATCACACATTAAATATGAGAGAGAATGGACGTTATACAGCAGCCACCTTACACCCAAGGGTGCCACCAGAGGGCGGCTGAGGTTGAAGCAAAAGGGCATTCACAAACAGATGGAGACACAACTCTACCAGAGCTACCCGGCATTCCCACACACTGCGACAAGGAGACACTTCAGGGTTCTGAAAATGCTCTGCCTCCCTGCCTACCCCCACCCCCAACACATCGTCATAAACACATGCAGAATTAGGATGACAGTCATGCATTTCACATCTCCCTTCCCCGTTAGCCTTCGGAGCTTAAGGGCTGGAAGGAAAAAAGGCAGGTCAACAAACACCAATGGAGTCACATCTGCCGAAAGGTGGATGGTGAGTGGGTTGTAGTTTGTGTTAAAGGAGCTGGAAAAGCCAATCACAGTCACTCAACACCACACAGCTATTTACCCCCAAACACAGACAGAACCAGGGCCTTCCCCATCACGGGTGGTTGATCACGGTGCCTTGCTGCACTGAGACGAGAAAGCCCAGAGACAGCCAGGCTTCCAGGGCTCCGACCCAGCAGGCTGGAGACGTCTTCGGGAGCGTTCCTTCCCAAGCTCACTTAAACTGTGACCCTCACGGCTTTTCGGCTTTGAACATGGAGTAGGCTCTCTTGATTCATTATCGTTTTCAGCCTGTGTACCATCAACTGTGTACCATGAACTGTAGCAGCCCCCGGCTGATATACCCAGGGCGCGGATTAGCGAGTTACTAAAGCTGGGTGTGGCTGACGCTTTAGTGGATTACAGACAACCTGCACCCCTCATCCACAGACAAACACGAGGTGTCAATGGCATACTCATTAGCTACATCCCCACCGCTGCTGCCCAGAATCCGAGTGACACCGAATTAGCAGCAACAACCTTGGCAGGAGAAGCGGTAGACTGGCCACCACCACTGGAACACAGATCTGTCAACTCTCAGGGATTGGATTTCTCGCTTAGGTCTTATCTAGTTGGCTGAGTCCAAGAGCTCCATTTTAAACAAAATTCATTCTCTGGGAAAGGGGCTGGTGAAAACTTAGGAAGGGGTGGAGCGTTACTAGTTTATGCAAGCCATTGTACCTGACATCAAGGTTTAGAGTGTGACTAGAGGCTGTACAATTTAAGGTGCTTTCGATTCTTTACTGTCATAGTGATGTGGACAACTGTATTATTAGGGCAGAAAGGGGTGTGTGTGTGTGTGTGTGTGTATGTGTGTGTGTGAGAGAGAGAGAGAGAGAGAGAGGGAGAGAGGGAGAGAGGGAGAGAAGGAGAGAAGGAGAGAGGGAGAGAGGAGAAGAGAAAAAAGAGGGAGTGTGGGGGCAGAGAGGCTTTGCGCATGTCAGCCTGTAGAGTTGTGCTTATGAGCCAGATGCTATTACAACCCCCACCCCCACTCCCGTCACACTGTTTGGGGAAAGGGAGAGAGAACTGTCTTACTGTGTAAGTCTACGCTGGGTTCAAGCTCCCAGTGTTCCTGCTTTAGCCTTTCAAATAGCTGGGATTGCAGGTGTACACCACTGTGCCTGGCTTCTCTTTCACTTTTAGGAGAGAATTGGAGGAGAGGAAGTAATAACAACTAAAAAGCAAACAAATGAGTGGATTTTAAAGTTGACAAATCTCTTCTAGCATGAGACCTCAGGAAACTTGTGGTGAGGAGTAAGTGAGTTTGGTGTAGAAAGTGTGAGTCCAGAGAGACATGGGGTTAGTTAGGATGTTCAGAAACCAAGTTAAAAAAAAAATTTCGTGCTGCAGAGTTGGTTTGAAAGCCACTAAAGCCAGTGATGACCTGGAGAGACAGACATTTATCTGAAAAAAGCTAGTTTATCAGACTGATCAACTCCAAGGTAAGGGGAGTTCAGGGAAATCTCTTCGGAGGGAAATTCTGCAGCAAAAATTTTTTCTTTAGAATTAGAGGGAAAGAGAAAACCCCAAACCAGTATGCAAGAGCTAATTAATGTTTATGCAAATGAGTCACTAACCAAGAAAACAAGGAAAATAAAAGGAACAAAATGAATTTTAATGGACATGTGCTTTAAGCATGCCAACAGACAACACACCACTAGAGACAAACATCAAAAGCAAATCATGATGCTATGATCAAACAGCAGTACATGTGGACACACTCCCCCTCACCCACCCCAGTGCTCCTCTCCAGCATTAGTCCACAGTGCTTTAGTGGTTGGCCACATCTGAGATGCTTAAATCGGGAGGTGAACAGAAATGCAATGTGACAACTAGTAGCACAGGAAACTCCTGCTTGATTTTCAAAGTGCATGAAGCAACACCACTTTCAAGTTCATTAACTTGAGTCTCTGCATCATCACTCCAAAGAATGAAATGGCCTTTTCTTCTTCTAATGCAATCCAATTGTTAATTACAATTTTGTTCTGGCAAGCTACCATTTAAAAATCTAGATTAAAAATAGACATGGAGCAAAGGCTACAGAAGCATCATAGCACTCTTTTCTTATGTGTGTATGTGGGGTTCTATTTTGTCTTCTGAATATAAAAAGCATTAAAACTTGAGCATTGGTCTGGATGATACAAAATTTAAACACATACACATACACACATATATGGTAACATATACGTATAGATCAATGACACACAAATGTAACTTGGGGCCAGAAACACGTGTTTTAGGGCTCCTTAATGATCAAAACAAGGGTTTTTTGTTTTGTTTTTTCCTCCATGATAAATTTGGATGTGTTTTAAGGCAGAGACCCAATAATGGAGCACACTACCCCAGAACATTAAGAGGCTTGGCATCTATCTATATACCCATCTACAGTCACAAGTAGATAGATATGTACATAGAGATAAGGAAAAACAAACAAGATGCTATATGATGTTATCCTGACAAAAGAAAAAAAAAAAGACATGCATCATGAAATGAAAAGACAAATCAGACTTAACTCATGGAGAACACATACCAAAACAGGTTTCTGACTTCACTAACACATCTAAATATGGCAAATGAGCAACTGAATGTCTCACAAGGCTTTGATGCAATATGGATTTTGTTTTGTTTTGATCAGGAAATCACCTCTTTCATCAGCTTTTATTCCTAAGGAAAAGGATTTCTGTTAAAACATTTTCAATTCTTGCTGGTGGCCTGGTAGCATGCCATCTTAGAAGACTCTTCACTAGAGAGCTCCACAAAAAGTCTTGAGAAAACGAATGCATCAGCCAGATTCACTCGAGCTGTACCACTGAGTTTCTATTCCCAGACACCTAAGTTACCTCTGGAGCCAGGAGGCTCGCAAGTGCTCCCTGGCACAGGTCCTGCAGTGTGTCGTTCAAGTAATCAGGATGAACCAGAATGGCTTTTGTTCCATTTGTTTGGGAAATTCAGTTTGACACCCCGAAAGCATTGAACAGAGGTCAGGAAGTATGGTAAGGCAGGCTTCCAGAATTCTGTGAGCTGCTGGCACTTGCCATGTCTGGTCAGGGCTGACAGTGACCAAGACAGGGGTGGCAGCAGTCAGTGGGCAATTTACGTCCAAGGCTGGCAGCAATGTGGGCTGCAAGGAAGCCTATGGTTCTCAACTAGGGACTTGGCAGAAAAAAGGTCAGAGAGAAATTGGTTTGTAAAACTAAATGACCCCAGGCTCTCAAAATATCACAACCCTGTACTGAAAAGTTAAACAGTTTCCTGAGAATATCTTAGTTCTCCCCCCCATCCCCTTATCATCTTCAATGAAATGAAATAATGCATCCTTCTTGGAATGTTACACAGCTGACTTTAAGTTGTAATCTCGCTACTCAACATCTCCTTCCTTATGCACCAGCTTCCTGGTTGCCCTAGCAACTAGCAGGTTAATAGCATCTGTAAATGGCACAGTACCTATATAGCGCAGTACTGTGACCTGTTAGTATAACTGGATGGGCCGTACCTGTTAAGATTCTAGTTTTCTTCTTCATAATGCTGTAATCACATTTAATTTCAATTACTCATGTAAGGCTTTTGCTGTAAAATCTTAATAAAGTAAAAAGCTCACAATAAATAAACAAAAAGTAAGTATGCTGCTTTCAGGCATCGAGAATCCATCAGTTAGGAGACTCAAATAAACATGGATTAAATGCAAACATATATGAAATCACAAAAGGCTATGAATTAAGTAAAATTTTTAACACTTTGGGTGAAGTGGAAGCCAAAAAAAAAAAAAAAAAGTCAAAACCAACAGGATCTGGAAAAAGTGGTTTCTTGACAAATGGTAGTGTGGTAGTGAACTTCACATTCCAGACCACGGCTGGTCACTGGCTGTCCGTCTGCTATTAAAGTTTTTGTAGTTTTGGTAGGTTTGAGAGCGGTAACTAACCCGTGGCGATCCCTGCTCAGCCGGCAAACCATTCTGGGAAACTTGCTCTCCTTTTGAAGTATCCCTATTAGGTGGGGGGAAGGGGAAAGAGAAAAGAAGCAGGAGGAGGAAAGGAGGGGAGAGAAAAGGGCAAGGAGGGAAAAAGAGAAAAAGGAAATAAGCAACACTCTTTCACACAATGCAACTTTTTTAAAAACCCTGTAACTTCCCCGTTTCAGACAGATCTCACGTGGAGTAAGCTTAAGGGACAGCCCTGTCCACAAGCCCACCAGAGGTTCAGGCTGCTCATACTGTACCAACATAACTAGCCTTTTGCAAACTGAGAATACTTTCTCCCTTTATGTGAAATTACCCAGAATTTTCAATGCAACTACTGCAAAATCGCTGGCCTGCAATCTGGGTGGGGAAGCCCACCCACTGAATGCTATGGAAATTTCTGAGTGCGCGTGTGTGTCTATGTACAGCACAGTGCCCACACAGTCCAAGAGGTACTGCCTACATTCCAGCTCTGCCACCTACATGGCTTAGGTGACTGCATGATAGACAGTCCGTGTGCTCGGCTGTGACTTGGGGGTAACGTGGATTTTCAATGGCATAAGGAAATAATGAGCAGGAAGGGATGTGGCCAGGCTCACAAGGCAGAAAAAAACCTCACGATTGCTATGGTAATGAAGATTCCAGCCTCTCCTGCTGCCTGTGACTCACCATTGCTGCTGGGACTCAGCCTCCTCAGAAACCTTTGTGCTTGGCTCTGGAGAAGGTGGCCGCCTCTTCCTCTCCTCTTCCTCTTGCTGTCTGCGCACTTCCAGTAACTCCAACTGAGGGAGAACACAGTCATGCTCAGCAGGGCTTGGACTTGCCACTTTTATGGAAAGGGAGGCCCTTGCATCTAGTCTCTACCCTAGCTCACACTGGACAACGCGAAGCTCTTCCATCCCCAGCAAAATGGTAGGGAGTTCATAGCAACTACAGCTAAACCGAGCCCGCAAGATCTCCCCTTCCCACACTGGTTTGTGTGTCCCCCTAGGAGCATGGATTTAATTTCTAAGTCCACTCTGCTAAAAGAAAAGTGCCCAAATCTCCAGAACATATTAAAAAAACAAAAACAAAAACACAAGGAGGGGGTAAAAATGCATGATAGGAAATGTACTCCTTACCTTACTCATGTAACTGTAACACCTCTGTACAGTAGCTTTACAATAAAAATTATATATTAGAAAAGAATAAAAAAACACAATAGCAGAGCTCATGCCTATAATCCTTGTTACTCATGATGCTGAGATTAGAGGATTATGGTTTGAGGCCAGTGTGAGCAGAAAAGTCCATTCACCTCCAATTAACTAGTAAAAAGCCAGAAGTGAGCTGCTGTGGCTCAGGTAGTAGAGCATTAGCCTTAAGCAAAAAAATTCAGGAAGAGCGCCCAGGCTCTAAGTTCAAGCCCCAGATGGGCACAAAAAAAGAAAAAAGAAGAAAAAGAAAAACCTCAGGATAGTCATCTACCTGTACCAAAGCCATTTCATGAGCAATATGCACACACTTGAAAGTTCTGTTTTAGCACAGAAGGATGCAGGCACATGTTAAATCCCAGAATTGTAGAAATTGGGAGAACCCCCACCCCTGTCATTTTTGTATACTGCAAAGAATGAATTTTTGTACCATAAGTACCAAAGTCTTAGAAGAAACAATAGCATCCTATCCCTCTCCTAAGATTTCTGTACTGGTGAAAGAGACCAATGGGAATGGGAGGTCTTATAGTGGCCCAGGGAGAAGCTACAATTGGAGGAGAATTCAAATCCTGAATTCCTCCAGAAATTCAGGACTCAAAGACTCTGAACTACCGAAGGAGAAGTAGTCAAAGAAAAACAAGTCTCAGCCATCAGTTACCAGGCAGAAGACTACTAGACAAACGTCTCAATCCAGGTGTCTGGAAGTGATGGAGAGGTTAGTAGTCCTAAGCCGCTTCCTTGGTGCTATCAGAGAGAGATTTCTGTTGGTCTTACTTTGTAGTCCAGGCTGGCAGCAAACTTTACTACCCAGTCTTTCTGCCTCAGCCTCCTAAGGGTTAGGATCACGGGCATGTGAGACCAATTTGGGGACTATCCACATACTTCCAGATCCAAGCCCCGGCCATGTATTCAGAGATCACTTACTGTTGTTAGCCTTTCCAGGGCGGAGAACCTCTCGTCCCAGGTCGCTGCAGACTTTTCAAATGCCTCATGGCGCTTGATGAGCTTCTCCACCTCATCCACACTCTGGCCGATTTCGCGGCTGGATAGGTAGGGCTCCTGTCCAAGCAGCCAAGCCTCGGCCACACTGGCGTCCCTTGAGAACTGATGGACCTCCAAAACTGTACAGGGTACCAAGAATGAATGTGGACCCAGGACCACTGGCACCACTGCCCTCTGGTGGCAGCTGGGTGCACAGTTTATAAGACCAGCATGCTCCAGTGTAAATGCCACATGTATGGGCCACTTTATGTATGTCACTTTATCTTCTCAGGCAGTCACATTATTAGACTAAGAACTGGTAAATTAATTTTAACTGGTAAATTAACTTTAACTTTAGCCCAATATATAAAAAATACCATATTTAACACATAGCCACTGGGCAGATTTTATACTGAGAATACTTCCATAACAATCTGAGAATACTTCAAGTCCCTACGAGACATATATATGACAGTAGCCATCAGATTGAGAAGTGCAGGTCCAAAATGCACTCTGCTCATTTAGCTCTATCTCCATGAAACAGGCCCTCAGAACCTGGCAGGATTCATAGAATCCTGTTTCTTCTTGGGGGTGGAGAGGGAGGGGAGCAACAGTTTGGACCGAGGTGGCACTGTGCCTCTTTCTTGTCCCTCCATGCGAAAACACTGAACACTCCTCCAGCCCTGCACTTAGGAGGAGGTGGGGCTGAATGAAGCTCGCTTCACACTGAGCTAACATTACTTCTCACTGCATCACCAACAGCAATTATGCTTGGGCTAGGCAGGTAACAAGTGGGCTGTGGGAGGTACCAGTATCCCTGCAGTGGGATGGCTGTCTATTTTTGACACCTTAGTATCAATTTAGCAATTAGAGAATATGCTATCTCTGCTTAGGGACTTGAAGTGGGGACCACGCAGATAGATCATCATGTTTCAGGTACAAATCTGATATGCGGTTTACTGCAGTGTATAACGTGGCTTTTGCTCAACTGAATGAAATTGGGAGTTTTCAAAAACTACAAGCCATATTCTCAAAGAACAGGGCTCTGAGCCCAATAGGATGTGCATTCACTGAGTCTTCTACAAACCTTTTAGAAAGGGCTCCTTTGGAGTTTACTTCTAGCAAGCACTCAATGTGTGTATGAATGGGCTTAGAACCTAAGGACACACCCAGAGTTCCAACACAGAATGTCAAAGTATAACTCAGCTACTTTTAATGTTCAGACCAATTTTGAGATGCCATTTCTAATACTATACACTATAATTCTTGCAAGGGCTCATCTTCCTTGATAAAATGAGGATTAAAAAATAGACTTTACAGCTGGGCGCCTGTAATCCTAGCTACTCAGGAGGCTGAGATCTGAGGATGGCAGTTCAAAGCCAGCCCAGGCAGGAAAGTCCGTGAGAATCTTATCTCCAATAAACCACTAGAAAACCAGAAGTGGCTCAAAGCAGTAGAGCGCTTGCCTTGAGCTGAAGAGTGCAGGGACAGTGCCCAAGCTCAGAGTTCAAGTCCCATGACTGACCGAAATAAAAATAAAAGCAAATAAAATAGACTTTACCTCCCAAGATCATTAGAGGTAATACATATGACAAAATACTCAGAAGAATGCTAAGGGCAAAAGCAAAACCTTAAGAGATGTTAATGTCATCAATCTTCCACTAAAACCACCAAATATAAGACAGGCTAGCTTTTCACTTTCTTCACTGTGAAGAAAGAAGTCTTGTTGAAGATGATTGGAGGGGCTCGGTCTCCGAAGCGATGTCACATTATCATATTCATGCATCTAAGGACACCAAAGCCCCAACCCCACTCATGACACTGTCATCAATCATGGAGTGAAAAATGATGCTTATGCCAGTAAGAAAAAGCAAGAATGCTAAAAATCATCAAGTAATAATAATGCATTAAATAAAGCAGAGAAAAAACCTTGCATGCTTTCCATGGATGCCCGCCCCAAAAGAGTAGAAAAGGAAACATGTCCTTACTCAGTCTTAACCATTCCCATCTGTCTTCCCACTTGTCAATCATTTCTTTTCTCTTTTCCGTCAACTGTAGTAACTTTTCTTTGATCTGTATGAAAAGAAGATTCCAGACATCTTAGTAGGATGTACTATGGCATTTTCATCTTTCCTGAGAGGTCACTTCACACAAGGAAAGTATCTTTTCTGCAGGGATTACCACTAAGCTAGGAACCATCAGCTCTGTTAATGTACATCCTGGAGCAGAGGGAAAAGCATGGCTAGCATGCTTTCAGAAGGAACTGTGGGAAGGGCCGAGCTCTCCTTAAAGCAGCTTTGTGGTAAGGAGGTCAACAATGCACTGGGCGTCCCTAACCCCTGGGTGATCACAGTCCTGCAGTCATATATTCACAAAGAGAGGAACAACAAGAGGAGCCAAGTCCTGGCCTCTGTAAAAGGATGGCATCCCCCTCACAAAGGGAACCTGTCATGAACTTGTCAATGCCAGTACCCTCACAAGCACCTGCAATCATCCCCCTTTGAGCAAAGCGACAAAATGATGAGGCAAATTCAATGGAGAAGCATTGGGAACCAGTAGGCACTGATGGAGGAATAGAGAGGTCATTTTTTTTTTTAACCAGAGGCCCCTAAAAAAATTACCTTCTGTGTCACAGAATCACTGGCTTTGGCCTACAATATTGCCTAGCTGTCTTAGGAAAAGGGAGTTTTGAAATATGAGGATGTGGGTGTGCACACATGTGTTTGCTTGGTATCTGCAGGTTCTGTAACTAAGGACTCAACCAATGCAGACCACAAACATTAGGAAAAGAAACTGAAGTTGTAAACAAATTTTTCACGTTATTCCTTAGGCAGCATAGTATAATAATTACATTTCATTTACCTTGTGTTAGCTGTTATAATTTAAAGCATGCGGGAAGATGTTGCTAGTTATTTACAAATACTATGGCATTTTATATAAGCAGCTATGGAGTCTGAGATCCAGGGAGGTCCTAGATACAATCCCCTGTGGGTACTAAGGCATAGCTGTTCACATTTCTGTGTATAATGTGTGCACATGCACGCATACTCAAGTCAGTTTCCATCAACTCCTCCAGCTGATCCATCCCACAGCCCCAAGAAGCAGCATTACCTCCTCAGATGCATAGTGCTTCCTAGCCAGCAGGGATTTCCCAAGTTCAATACAGGTTGTGAAACTGTCGTTGCGAGCATCAATTTCAGCTTTGATACCTTGATGATTATTCATTAACAGTTCAACAGATGACACATCCCTAAAATTAGACCAGTAACATCTCTTTTAGGAACTCAAGCTTTTTCCATAAAAGCATGCAGGCTTTCAAACATGCTATCAATCTGAAGGAAAATGATGGCCAAATTGGCCTTTGAGGGTTGATTTACAGGTTGGGTCAATGGGGGTCAAAATTCCAGGGGATGTAGCTCAGGAACAGCTCAGTCAGCACAGGCTCCACATTTAGAAGCTGGCTCCTTTTATTTGTGCTGAATAATTTAAAATGGTCACTTGATAAGTATAAGAACACTGCTTGTTTTCTGTTAAGCTTTTGCCCTGAAGTGCAATTTGGACAGGCTTTCTGTCAACAAGGTCTGAGGCAGTAACAAGTTCCCTAGGGCTCAGGATATGTACCCCAGAACAGCTGGGGAAGTCTCTGAACTCAGACAGAAAATGATAAACAGGGGAAACCAGTGGTTTTGTAGTGAGAGCTCCTCAGGGAGAACTAACCATGGCGCAGGGAATTAGACTGCTTTTTATTTCTTATTTTACTTTTTGTTGGTTGTGGGGCTTGAACTCAGGATCTAGGCACTGTCCCTGAGCTCTTTTGCTCAAGGCTAGTGCTCTACCACTTTGAGTCATAGTGCTACTTCTGGTTTTCTGGTGGTTAATTGGAGGTAAGAGTCTCACTGACTTTCCTGCCTGGGCTGGCTTTGAACTATGATCTTCAGATCTCAGCCTAAGTAGCTAGGATTACAGACGTGAGCCACTAGTGCCTGGCAAGACTGCTTTTTAAATGACAGAACTATTTCTTATATTGTGGCATAATTTTTATCTCAATTACAATGGGTGAACAGCAGCTTTTATCTGTACTTATTTGTTCAACTATTGAATTCTTTTCACTGCTTTGAATGAAACAGAAGTTAAAGGGTAGAAATAGAATAAACATTAACTTACCATCCTACAACACCACTAAAGCAGATGTTGAGAGTGATAACCTTTGGTAACGTGTATGGAAGGGGGACAAAGGGGCTTTTAATCCAATCAACAGGAGAAAAGTGAGCTGGGTGCTTGTGGCTCATGTCTGTCATCCTAACTGCTCATGAGGCTGAGATCTGGGGATCTCGGTTCATAGCCAAGTCTGGGCAGGAAGTCATTGAGATTCTTATCTCCAATTAATCAATCCTCCCCCCCTCCCCCCCAAAAGCCAGAAGTAGAGCTGTGGCTCAAGTAGTAGAAGATAGCCTTAAGCAAAAAAGCTCAAGGATAGTACACAGGACTTAGGACCAGCACACAACAAAATGAAAAACAAAATCTTAGAAAAACCCATCTCATTCCCAAGATAAAGTGGTCAGGAGCGCCCAGGGCACATGACCAGGAAGGCACAGGTGAGTGTGAAATATAACCTAGGAGGGTCCACAGGTCCCCGGCAATGGTGTGTCAGAGACAACTGAAGCAGGGGTGGCTGTCCCTATCTCTGCACCCTGACGCCTTGAGTATTACCTTGGCTTCTCCTGGGCTTCTATCTGCCGGATGACATCCTCCATCCAAAGCATGAGGTCCCGCACCATGCTGAAGAAGCGGAACTTGTCCCCTGTGTCCACCAGCCGCACCCTGCGGCCCTCACAGGCGTCCAGGAGGGACTTCCAGGCTTCCAGGACCTCGTTCTCACGCTTCTGGATGTCGTCAGCCTTGTCACCCGCATAGGCTGCCTGGAGGCGAGCTGCATCCTCCTGCAGCTGCCTCACCTGCAAAGCCACGGGGAAGATGAGTCAGGTTTGACCCCAGATTCCCCACACTCCTTCCTCACAACGCTGCTACTAATGGAGCACTAGGTCAAAACGGGCCTGGTGCCTCTCAAGGAGTTCTGATTTCACGGAGGACCACCAAGTCAGAAAGACCCAGGTTTCTATAAACCTATGAAACTGCATAGTTAGCTCTCTAATAATAAAGTAAAATGCTACAGACATACAGGTCAGGAAGGTGAGGAAAGGCGCTCTAGAGGTGGCCTGGGATATAAAGTAGGGCACTTCTAGTTACAGCCCCAAAAATGAACACCTTCCCTACTCACTCCGGGTTAAGGTAATTTTTATTGGCTGGGTGCTGGTGACTCCCATCTGTAATCATAGCTTCTCCTGAGGCCGAGATCTGAGGATTGCAGTTCAAGGCCAGGCATGGGCAGGAAAGTCCATGAGACTCTAATCTCCAAATAACTACCAAAAAAGCTGGTAGAGTGGTAGCTCTGAACAAAAAAAGCTCAGGACCGGGCTGGGAAGTTGGCTCAGTGGTAGAGCGCTTGCCTTGCATGCCTGAGGCCCTGGGTTCGATTCCTCAGCACCACATAAGCAAAAAGAAAAAAGCCGGAAGTGGTGCTGTGGCTCAAGGGGTGGAGCGCTAGCCTTGAGCTGAAGAGCTGAGGGACAGCGCCCAGGCCCAGAGTTCAGGCCCCACAACCGGACCAAAAAAAAAAAAAGCTCAGGACCAGTACAAAGCAAACAAACAAACAAAAGCCCTGTAAAACTGTACATTAACAGCAAGAATGATGATTTAGTAAAATGTAGCCACAAGTACACTTCTACTTACAGCTAAATATTTTGCTGAGCTATCTTTATAGCTATGACATTCATCAAAAGAAAAGTAAAATATTAACAAGTCAACAAAAAATGGACACCCTAAGAAATGTCAGCATAGGAAATTAACATAGGTCTTAAACATGAAAAGATGCCAGGTGATGACATGAATACTGTTATCTATTTGTTGGCCAAAATTCAGCTTTGAAGATGCATTTGTCAGTGAGATCATTCATTGTTGCTTGACTCGTAAGAGGCTATAGCTCATCTAAAAGGTGATGGACAGTACCTATCAAAATAATATTTGCATGTATCTTCTGTTTATAATTCCATTTGGGGAATTTGTCACATATATATATGTATGTGTGTGTGTGTATACACACATATATATATCCTTGCACACTTAGGAAGGGAAATACATACTATTTACCACAGCATGATCTACATAAGCAAAAGATGGATCTCCATTAGTGATGGACTGGTTGAAAGTGCAGCCCTTGTGCAGCTATGAGAAAAATGGGAAAATGCTCTAAGTACTCGCATGTAAGTGCTCGGAGTAAAAAGCAAGGTCAGGTGGTATGTATAATATTCTCCTTTTTGTGCAAAATGAGGGAAAAAATACAGCTGGTTTGTTGTCTATAATAGGAACAGTAACTGTGACTGTTTTATACTTAATATTTCCCTCAAACTTTGTTTTTATACTTTACATTTCAGCAGTGCCATGCCCACAATGTCTAATCAAGATATACACAATACAGTGGAAGAGACAATCATTATTTCCTGATAAGACGTTCTCACAAAGTCCACGGACAACAGCTCTGCACATCAGGCGTCCTCATGGGTATCTGTGAGGAGAGTATCTGGAGAAATGCTGTGCGGGGATAATGGGATAGGATAGACAATGGGAAGAGGGGAGGGGCCCGGAGGGGAGGGTCACTGCCCCTCAACCGCATAATGACTTTTTAAATGGTGGTAAGAAAATAAAGCTTTTGCTAAAGCATCGATGGGATTTGGTTTCGACGGTGATTTGATTTCTATATCTTAAAGACTTTGGGGAATATTCTTTTAATAGTTAAGGCTTAAGTATAACTCATTATCATGAGCAAATGTGTAAGAAATTATCTGAAAAGGGCTAGTTTGCTATAATCTAACCAAATCTTTCCCTGTGCCTCTTGCTCTTCTGAATGGACTCATACAACAAAAAGTGCAGTGGAAGAGGCTATGTACAACTGAAAATTCCCACAGAAGTTAACTGGCTTTTTGCATAGCCACTCAAGACCATCCCCTGGGGCAGATATTGTAAGATGCCCTCATCTCCCACTGCTCCCCCAGGCACTTATGTAGACAGCAGTAGGTCAAGCTGGCAAAAGATGACACAGCCCAGCAGGAGATACTTCCTACTCAGGGAACCTGTACCACAAGGATTGGCAATACTTGCAGTCATAAAGTGCCTAGGCATACGTTATGGTGAGACAGACAGAGACCGTCGGACACGAGGAGATGGATGGTCCTGACCTGGATGGAACTGAACTCTTGGGCTTTCTCACTACTCCAAGTCTGAAGACATTGAGTGAAAAACAAGAGAGCAACTCCATCATCTCTTAGTTCTCTTGTAATTCTAAAGTAATGATTTTAAGATGCATAGGGAAGACTTGCTGTTGCTGTTTTGTCTAGGCCTCCAAAAGTTTCCCTAGGCTTTTGTTATAGGAAATCAATATGAATTTAGCATCAGTGAGACGACAATGGCAGTCTGGTACCAAAACACAGTGAGAATGATGCCTTCAACAGAGCCTGGCCTGGCCAGCTCCAAGCTTTTTTTTTTTTTAAACTAAAGATATACTGGAACACAGCCAAATCTATTCATCCCACATTTTCTATTGCTGCACTATACTAAGATGGCAAAGGCAAGTAGTTATAATAAAAACTAAATGTTCCACATAAAACCAATAAATATTTACTATTTGGTCTTTGGTAGAAAATGTCTGCTACCCAGGGCACTAATCAGTGTTTGCCTTTTTCTTTTTTCTATGTGGCTTCATAAAGGGCCTTATGCTCCTTATGTTCCTGCTGAACTTTTCTGCTCTATGGCTGGTGGTCTACCACTTGAGTGAGCCACACCTCCACTGCAGCTTTTTGCTCGTTAACTGGAGATGAGAATCTGTTTTGTCTGCCCAGGCTGGCTTTAAATATCCATCCTCAGATCTCAACCTCGTGAGTAGTTGGGACTAATTTCATGTGTAAGCCACTGGTGCCTGGAAATACATTTCAATAGACAAAAACAAAACCCCTCAAGACTAGTATTTGTAATCAAATTGGTTTCTTTTCTAGGTCCATGAAATATATCATGTCTTTTTCAACTAAATGTAAATTTTCAACTAAAAGGGATATGACTAAACAGGAAACTGCACAGAGTTTAGAAATTAGAGAATGTTTACACTAGATTCTTTCTGTTATACTGTTATTACTTTGTCAAACATTTTTTAAACAAAGTCTTTGTGTTAGCTGATCAATACTGAGGGGGAAAACACCAGGCACACTAAAATGTTAGAATCTCATTTTTTTCTTTTGGGATGGTTCATGAAAAATAACAAGGTATTGTTTTGGAAACTATTCTGGATGGAAATGCTAACATAACATAAAGTCTTATTGAAGCCTATACCTTGCAATGTGTGTGTGTATGTGGTGCAGACATTTATTTATTATAATCATGAGTATTTAACAATGTTTGCAAATGTGGCAAACTCAGAACTTGATGGACTGAAAAGCTCTTGCAAAATGGGAGTATTATCATAATGTGTGTGCATGAGCATGCATTATTTAATCCTGCTAATCTTTCAGGCATGTTTGGAGGAGGTAAGGAACAGAGAGGAACAGAGAGACACTCAGAGATGCACTAAGATGCTATGTGAAGTTTCTACATTGTGTTTTAGTACATCACCACCCACCTGAGTGCCCAGAGCTTGGATGTCATGCTCAAAGGTGGTGTGCATTCGCTGTAAGGTCTCCACGGTGTTCTGATCTCTCCCAAGCTCCTCAGGGAGTTTCTTGTGTTTATCCTGGATACGCCCAAAGATTTCCTTGGCATCATGATAAAACTTATGCAGTTCATAGGAGGCAGCCAGAATCTGTGTTCTCGTGTCAATGAGCTCCAGCAGATCAGCCCAGGCTTCATTAAGGCCATCCTTCCATTCAGCGATGGTGGCAGCATCCGAGTGTCCAGAGTTGATGAGATCATCTGCCATGTGATTGACCGTGTCCACACGTTCCTGTCCAATGTTCCCTGTGTCTCGAGCAAATTCCCGGAATCGTTCTTGCAACATCTGAAAGGAGGATGGGTATAAAGAAATCAATGAGACCACTGGGAACATTTTACTTCCTGATCCCATGAATGTCGTTGGCAAAGAAACTGCCTCTAAGTGGGAGGTAACAAGTAATACGCATGACTTTAAGAACAACAGATCTGTGCTCTAAAACATATCCGGTCTTGCACACTGCAAAGAGTAAACCACTTCTATCTCCTATAATTGCCAGAGGATGGGGCACAGAGAGGTGAACCAACTTAAGCCAAAGTCACTTGATGAGGAACCAAGTGGAAACAGAACCCCATGACTTCTGACTAGAATGCAGGATATTGCATTCACCCACAGCTCAGGAATGCAATCGGACTTCCATACACTTCTTCACTACGTACCACTCAAGCTCTGCCCAGGTACTTACGGTGACGTGCTCGTAGTCCTGCCCCAGTTCATGGGACCCTGCGACCACCTCCCTCTCAGCAATCCACTGCTCTAGGTCATCCACCTCCCGGTTGAGCTGGAATAGCCTGTGCCTCTCATCTAGCTTGCCTCTCCTCTCTTCAGCAAGGTCCTTCAGGCCAGCATATAGCTTATCTACTTTGGACTGCCGCATGCTAATGCGCTCACTGAAAAAGGGGGAGAAAGGACACCTTAAATGTCAAGTTTCTTCCTGGGGAGAAACAAAGGAGGGAACGTTAATACAAATTTTCTCTAAGGAAGCTTCTGCTTATACCTTTTAGCCTGAAAAAGAAAACTCTAAAATTCAATTTCAAATGATAAAGAGAGCTAGTAAGTAAACCAAACACACTAATTAAGACCAGAAACCATCTTGAACGTAACAATTGGGAGGAGGAGGGGCCTGTAACTGCACTACTGGCTCTGCAAGTCAGTATTTCCTTAAGAAGTTATCGCAAAACTCTGAAGCTACCTTCCATTCTCAGATACAACGCTACCAGTTACAGACAAGATGCTGCCGCCTGGCACCCGATGGCCTCCATCTCCTCTTGTGTGCGTGTGCTTGCCTCTGCTAGGGCAGCTGGCTCTGGCTACATTTCCTGGCTCTTGAGTGTGCTTTTTTTTAAGGAGGCTGAATCTTCTTTCCTCACAACAGGAAATTAGAGACAAGAACTTGCTGGTGCCTATCCCTGGAGATGGGGGGGGGGGGGGGGGGGGGGGTGACTTTCTTGAGAATCTAATCATGAATATATTCCCTGACTTCATCTCCTCTAATCTGCCTTGGTTAAACATACAAAGTTGATCTTTTTTCCACTCTGAGTCATAAAAAGCAATTACAGAAAATGCCTGAAATGTATGCTCTTGAAGTTAATGCTCTTGCCCCATACATAGTCAGTGAGTACCACACACCTACCTATGTTTCCTCTAAGATGTTCTGAGTACTTGATATGTAAAAGTTAGGATACAATTTTGTTCTTTTTTTCCCCTATAGGTCCATTGATTTACTTATTTATTTGTAGTCCGGGAAGAGATCCAGTACCTTGAGCATACTAGGTACATATTCTACATCTGAGCTATATCCCCAGCCTGTAGATCCTTACACTGTCTTCCACTCACCTTAAAAGTAGTAACTGTTCTCCTAATAAATTAGATGACAATGAAACTGTTCATTCTTCCTGTTCACCAGATACTGTTTAAGTCTATGGTAAGAACACTTCCCAAAGATCCCCCTTGGCACTAAGTTAAGATGAATGCTGCCATTTTCTTCTTGGGCAGCTTAGTAAAAGATTCACTGAAGAACAGAAAGTCTCACCTTTCAGGATGGCTGTCAGCCACCAATGCCCGGCTTGTCTTGGAGAGCTGGTGTACTGTCTCTGCATAGTCCTCCACGGCTTGTTCTAAAATTTGGTGTTTCTTCAACATGGAGACAGCACTCTGCTCATCCTGCAAAGAGAGGGACTGTCACAACCACAGTGGCCCTTTTGGTCTGATACCACCTGATACCACCACAGGCTAGCTGTGCAATGGGACAGGAGGTAGGACAATCAGAAAGAAAAACACTGCAAATGTAGTATGACTTGTAAGCAGGAAATGTTCAGAGAGGATCATGGACTGGACAGAGGTCTCTATAGGGGAACATGATAACCCAGAGTGACCAAGGCCCTTCTGAGATACAGAGTCAAGTACAGGGCTGGGAAGGTGGCTCAGTGGTAGAGCGCTTGCCTTGCATGTATGAGGCCCTGGGTTCGATTCCTCAGCACCACATAAGCAAAAAGAAAAAAGCCGGAAGTGGTGCTGTGGCTCAAGTGGTAGAGCACTAGCCTTGAGCTGAAGAGCTGAGGGACAGCAGCCAGGCCCAGAGTTCAGGCCCCACAACCTGAGTCAAGTATAGGTAGGCCAAGTGTCCCAGGCTGGCCGTAACCCCAACAGCTCGTCAAGCATGAAGATGACGGCATTAGGGAACCTTAAAATATTTTAAGGGTATCAAAGCCATTTTGATTATGGCACTCTATATAGGATTCTGGCAAATTTCTTTATACAAAAGAAGTAACAGGATGAATCACCATGATGACGCACAATTCAGTCACGAAGATCAAGTGTCCAGGGTAAAAAGAAGTCAGATTTTAGCCACCTCTGCACACTATGGTGCCTCTCTATAACACTCAAAAGAAGAAGCAAAAGGTGGCTCACTGACAAAAGCCCCCAGCAAGGCCAAGTGCACAGTCTGAGTTTGAGGCCCTTGTGAGGAATGGGCCTCGCGCTCCTCTTAGGGAGGGCGGGAGCCACTCTCACCTTGGCCTTCTCCTCAGACATCATGTACAGCTCCTGCTCGCTCATCCATGCTTCGGCTTCAGCGGCGTCAAAGTAGTATTGCTGGGCCTTGTGAGCCTCCTCAAGGCGTCGGTGGCGTTTCTCCGTCTCCTCGATGAGGAGGCCCCACAGCTGCTTCAGGTCGGCAAGCCTCTGTCTGATGGCCTCCGCATTGAGGCTGCTGCTGTCAGTGACGATATTTTGGCTTCTCTCAAAGATGTCATCAATGCGAGGCTGATGCCCCTGGATTTCTTTCTGGAGGGTCTGTGTGGGAGCGGAACACACCCCAAGTCTCGTTAAATGACCGTAGCCTGCTGCTTATGTCAAACTGTTAAGAGCCATAAACTTGCAAGCCTTCAAAGCTCTCTCATTTTTTTCTGCCTTGAGATGTGGAACAATTATTTACCAGGCTGAACTAGCTAGAGCAGAAACACTTACCTGGTTTTTCTTTATTAGCAGCTGAACAGTCTGGAGGTTGTGGCCGTGATCTGTGGAAGTTGCCAAAGGCATCCTCTCACCAACCCACAACTGGAAAGAATTGCAAATAAGTGGTCAGGACTGCATAGAAGGACAAATATTTGACATAAACAAGAGTATCAGGAGGACCAGCTGCCGAGAGTGTGCCAAATCCTTCAAGGGGCCACCAGAGGGCGGGCAGTGGGGCAATGCTTGGATCTCAAATCCCAACTCATCCTTAATGTCAGAGCCTTACAGTTTTTTTGTTTTGTTTTTTAAGCACCATTGAAGGGGTACTAAAATTCTGGAGTAGAAGTAGAGCAGGGCACAGTGGCACATGCTTATATTCCTAGCAACTCTGGAGGCTGACATTGGGGGAGATCAGGTTTCAGGCCAGTTTAGGCAAAAAAGTTCACAAGACTCCAGCTCAACTGAAGAAGCTAGACACAACTACATCCACTTGTTATCCCAACTACATCCACTTGTCATACCAACTACATCCCTGGTTCATGCATATGACATGATCGGACAAAAAGTGACACCCTGTGTCAAAATAACCAATGCAAAGACAAACAAACAAGGTTGAAGGTACGTCTCAGCTGTAGATGCCTGATTTTTAAGCGTGAAGCTGAGTTCAAACCCCAGTATCACCAAAGGAGAGAGAAAGAAAAAAACCTGGATTTATCTTCAGAAAAGCAGAGAATGGAGTTTTATCACGTGGGAAGGGGAAGAACCCCTAGAAAAGAGTAGAGCCTGGGCTGTGAATGCTCAGCGCACTAATGTGGCCTAAGTGAGCATAACAGTGAGAACATGGGCTTCTGGAAAGGCAAGGTTATTTGGAACAGGGTCTACTCACGATCTCGTCCTCCACATCTCTGTTGAACTGATGGATCTCTTTGGAGGCCAGCAGATTATGCTTCCTTTCATTCAAGGGTTCGAGCAGCTCCATGAATTTGGTCTGCACAGTGAGGCGCTTGCTGTCTACCTCATCGGTGCTCTTCCCTTCCTGACTCAGAGCTTGGGCCTGGCTCTGAAGCTCCTCAATTTCCTTCTTCCGTACTTCCATCTGGTTCTCCAGCATCTAAAAGTGAAAGACACAGCGATGTTGCATCAGAGCAGGGGAAACATAGATGGACCTATCAAGTATCTGTTTGGTGTACTGGCCAAAAGGGAAGACTGAAGAATAAATATAAACTTATACAGTAGAAAATCTAAGAAATGGCTCCACCGGGGGTGGGGGGAGGATGGGAAGGGATGGAAAGGGGAAACAAAGGAGGAGGCTACAATGCTTGATAAGAAATGTACTCATTATCTTGCCCATGTAATTGTAACCCCTCTGTACAGTATTTTCACAATAAAAAAATAAAAATTAAAAAAAAAAAAAGAAATGGCTCCACCATCAATCAATCTACTAGTTGGCAATCCAGTTCATCAGCTGATGCCTAAATGTCCCTTTCTAGGATTTTAAAGTTTGAGTAATATTCAAACTTGTCCATGAGCCTAACAAAGGAAATGACAGGGGAGACAGTAATTCATTATAGAAAAAGGTCAGCTTTTATTTGCTTGTCCAGAAACCAGCTTTACCCTCAGAAAGGAGTTATGTTAGTCTTGAAGCCCTAGTTCATTTAAGGAAGGTAATGTTAACCTGCCTTTATTTCCTTGGTTAAAAAGCGGATGGAGGTCATACTGAACAATCAATGGAACACATACTAGTTCTTCATTTAAAGAGAATGGATGAACTGGGCGTCGGTAGCTCACGTTTGCAATCCTAGCTACTCAGGAGGCTTAGATCTGAAGATCATGGTTCAAAGCCAGCCATAGCTGAAAGCCTGTGAGACTCTTATCTCCAATAAACGGCTTAGAAAACTGGAAGTGGTGCTGTGGCTCAAGTGGTAGAGTGCTAGCCTTGAGCAAGAAAGAAAATGGGTGAAAGTAGAGGCCTCTTGCTCAGGACCTATCATAGGAGAAGGCCATATACTGACAGCTTAGGAAAAATAGGTGTTTCATTTGTGTATAGACTGGCACCATTCTCAGGTAGAGGAGGAAAGCAGCTCCTCTACAGGGAAACTACCTGTGGGGGAAAAATACTTCATGCACAGTAACTTGCAGAACACAGTCAGTGACCAAGTCACTTAACTAAAGGCGAGGTCAGTGTCACTTTGATAAAGAAACCAGCCTCAGTACTCAGCCACTGTCCTGTAGTGCCTGTAGTCACAGCTGCAGTGACCAGGACTCAGGTTGCAGAGCTAGCCAGGGGAGCCACACACACACTTCTCTCAACCTCAAAGCAACTGTTTTCTCATTAAATAGTAAATTCACTTGTCTTTTGAGCCTTTTGCTGCGATACAGAAATGTGGAAAAACCCACATTTCTTCTATGGTCTCTAAGTACCTTGAATAATTTGGATAGCTGACAGGCATCTACACATTATACAACAAACCATGTAAATATGATACTTTCATTTGCATGAGATGCACAGCTTAACTATAAAAAGATATTTTCCAAAGTGTTCCCATGCTGACACCTAACACTTTTACTGACACTGTGTTTCTAGCTGACTCTGGAAATGCCCTATGATGCTGTCAGAGTAAGCACTTTGCTGGGCATTAAATCCCTTCACATGGAAAGTAGATGGCTGAAAACAGGCAAAGCCCAAGGAGGTTGCTGCCTTATCCACTTGCCTGTTGCTTTTTCAGCAGGATGTTGACGCTAGTAAGGTCTTTGCCATAATCGTCAGACTGAATCTGACTCTCCAGGCCATGGAGCCATTTATCCAGATCTGCGCAGCTCTGGGTAAAAAGTTCAGCCTTGTTTGCATCAAAGAGCCGCTGGGCCTTGGTCTGGGTGGTGGATTCAAGGACTTCCCACATTTTATGTAAACCAGTGAGTTTCTCCTTCACCACAGCTTCCGTCTCAGGCTTTTCTGAAATGAGCTGCATTCCTTCCTGGAAAACACAAACCAGTATGGTTGTAATTAAATACAATTTGCAAGAAAGTAAATGTCACCATGTAAAACAAACCTAACATTTGATCTGATTGACCCATTCATTCAGCACACACATGCTCACATTCACAAATTCTTCCCATTAGAAGTTACTACCAAATAAAATCAACAACGGTCTCAGCTAAACACAAAGTTTCCAGGGATTACATTCCTAATTGCCACATGCAGAAATAGTATCAACTGCAGCAATGGGATATTCAGTGCTAATAAACCAAGGTTTCCCCCCTCCACTTCATGTCCCAGAGACCATAGCCATCACATTTTTCTAACTCTTAAGAGCCTGGTGCAATATATCAAGTATGAGGGGAGAGAAGGGAGGACGGGAAACTCATGGTGCTCAGTTGAAGTGCCTGATGGTTCACAGTAGTCACACATGGGCGATTTAAACACATAGTTCTTTTTGTTTTCCTTTTTGCCAGTCTTGAGCTTGAACCCTGGGCTTGGGTGCTGTTCCTGAGCTCCTTTTGCTCAAGGCTAGCTAGCACTCTACCACTTGAGCCACACAGCACCACTTCCAGCTTTTACTATAATTGGAGGTCTCACAGATTTTCCTGCCTGGGCTGGCTTTGAACTGTGATCTTCAGATCACAGTAGCTGAGTAGCTAGGACCAAGAGGTGTGAGCCACTGGAGCCCAGCAAACACATAATATTTTAAAATCTTGTGCAACTATATCTGATAAAGCTTATCACAGTATACCACAGGCAAATATGACCCAGATAGAAGGACAGAGAGGTCCACGGTCCACCAGTAGCAGCAGAAGAGACGCATAACAGAGACCAAGTATTTGCTTGAAGATGAGCCAGGTTTTCTGAGACTTTTGATTGGGTTTCTGTTTTCCCTTCTGGTAGGGTGAAGTCACCAACTGGCAAGTGAGAGGCGGACTGCCACTGGCTATGAAACTTTCATAAATGACAACATAGGCTCAAATATGCTGGTGTATTTTGAAGGAAAAAAATGAGTGCATCCACACCTTCAGCTCCTTCTCCTCATCAGGACCACCACACGGCAACGAGGGCCCTCCTCAAACGTTTTAACCCACCTTCTCAATTTTGTCAAGCCATTCTTTGTTAGATGCAAGTTCTGCCATAAATGCTTGGTGCTTCAACCATTTACTGTGCAGATTTCTGGCTTCATCGTAAGACATGTCCTGGGCTGTAAGCATCTTTTCATTGATCCAGAGAGAAAGCTGAAACAACAACAAAAACATAAGAAAGTTTTCAGAGACTGTCATTATACCTATCAGCTTTTCCCCCTCCTTAGAAAGGATTGTAGTGTTAGACTATGAATACTGTACATTTCCATGTCAACACACAACCAGATGTTTAACTTTCCAACTCTGAGCCACAAGTATCCATTATAAGGAGTCTGTACTCAAGCTAGGTCTAAACTGTACATGGAATATAAAGCCTAGAAGTACAAAAACAATGAGCCAATTTCCAAACTAGAAGACACTTTCAACTGGCTTTTCCCAAAGGCTTGTATTTAAAATTTTGCTCTAACTAGTCCAAGTCAAAACCTTTTCTCCCTTCCAAATATCTGTGTCACTTAAACCATGTTCATCCTGATTAACTGTCTTTTAATTCATTTGGCAATAAAGTTCTTTTGGTTCTTTTTAGTAAAGAAAAAAATTCTAACAAACCAATCTACTCATTTACTGACTCCCTCCCTTTTGATGAGAATGCCAAAAAGGCATGAACAATTTGCTTGCTGTGGGTAGGGCTAAAGCAACAACGATATCCTGTCAACATTTCATTCAAATATAAGTCAACTTCACTTCTCTTTTTTCCATTGCCTCTATCTCTATAGAACCCTCTATTCAGATCCTACAAGTCTACCTGGAAGTGAATTCTTGAAAATCATGTTAAGTCTGCCAGCTGCTGACAGATAGATGGGAAGAAGTTCGTTTTAAGAGGTTTGGGGCAGGAGACAGCCCAATGACAGGCTCTAAAACGTATCTTCTGCTGCTTTTCTCTCCATGTGGTCCATTTTTCCAGCTAGTCTACCAGTGTCAAGTTGGTTCTCCCCCACAGGGTACTGCCCAGAGAACATTTTTTTTTTCCGCCTTGTAGGAGATACATGAAACCTCAGTTGTCAGGTTCAGTTGGATCGGAAACAGGAATCTTCAGGGACTATCTGCCCTCTCCCAGGTAACAGGATGAAGCCTACTTTTATACCACTCAGGACATTAAGTTTACACTTGACTATCTTCATCATTTTACTTCCCAGTATCTACAAATGGTAGTAGGGCCAATGGAAAGGAAGTACTACTGTAGTCTCAACGTTCAAAGGCCATTAGCTGGCCCTACACTCTGGTCACTGCTGGGGTGGGAATGATCACATTCCCTTCAACAATAGGTCTATTCTTTAGAAATTATGTCAGTGGGGGGAACTCCTAGCTTTGAGGGCAAGTGAACTTGGGCACCTCTCATGCTCTTCAAATGAAGGAGAATCACAGGGAGCAAGGTTTGAAATCAAAAGGTAGCAAGACCTTTGATGTCATTTTTTTTTAAACTGGAGCACTTAAGCTAATAAATCTTAAAATGTCCTTTGTAATAAGTCATTGATTTTTCACACAAAACTCTAAATACTGAAATATCCAATTTTAAAGAATTACTTGTTTTCCAACTTATATAAGTGGTTAAAATCTGAAATATTATGGGTGATTCATCTAATCTAAGAAGTTGACAGGAAACCAAACAATAAATCTGCCCCTGAACACAGAGGTTCCACACAATAAAAAAACACCTATTTATTCAAAGTGCCAGGGACACTCACATATTCACTACTCATAAATATCCTAGAGGGTTTTTTTTTTAAAGAGAGAGAATACTATATAAAAATCAGAGGCTTATAAACAAATCTGCTCTTTGCTGAACACCACACCCTACAGGTAAAGCAACATGCAATACAACACAATGCATGGGGGAGGGGGGGGGAGGGCGGGCGGTGGGGACGGTGTCGTCTGTGGGACTTGCCAGAGCACCAGCCCTTCATCAGCACTCGGAACCAGAGCCATAGTTACTAAATGTGGGCATAAAGGTCATTTAAGACTACATTCATTCTCTGCAGAGAAAACTGCTGTGCAGCTTGGCAAAAGATAACAAATGCTTTTCATCACTGAATTAAGCCAAGAACAAAGCTCTGAGCTCACATTTCTGTGCCACAAATGTCTATCTACATCAAAGTGTATGTTTCAGAAAATAGGAGGATAAAACAAAAATTGATAGCCTTAAAGTCATTTGTCAGTTTTCTCAAGACATCCCATTGAGATAACACTAGAAAGATTAAGATGCTCTTTGTATCCACATCTGTAAGTGGGAGAAGGTGGGGGTTCCTGTTCACTTGCACTATATTGTTTTTGTAATCGTTGTTCCCATCTGGACAGTGTTTATGGGGCTGGCAATAAGGGCAAATCTCACTGTCCACACTGTTTCCAGCCAAGGCACCCAGGAGGAAAGGAGTGGGGAAAAAAGAAACTCCTGATTCCCTGGGCTGTAAACACCAACATCAATGATAGCATTAAATTTGACTTCTAGGTACTATGTAAATAACCGTCAGCATAAAAGCTAGATGACCAAATGGGAAGCTGCTTTGTACAAACTCCATTGTCTCAGACTCTGGCTTATAAAGGAGTGCATATTCATGAAGCTGAAAGATAAGAAGTTCACAGTAAAGGATTATGTATGGACATGTATATACATACACACATGTATATACACATATATTCACACATGTAGTTATATATAACAAGGTAAGAAAAGAAGTAGGGAGACATGGCAGTATAATCATAGATGCAGATTATCTCCTGGGTATTTAAAAAACCCAAATCAAAACCAAACTAAACCAATACCAAAACCAAAGCCAACAAAACCAAAAACCCCTAGCCCAAACTTTCTTTCATATTTTGAGTGGAAATGATGTAGGACCCAAATCCCTGGGTATAATTGACTATAATTTTTGACAAGTGGAAAAGATCTAAAGGCCTACTAAGACCCATTATTTCCTGTGAGTGCAGTGGGAAGGACTATCACTTCATCTACTCACTCTCCCCACACATCCCTATTTATGAATCTGTAATTACATGATTGGAAACAGAGGGCTGGACCTGGAAATATTAACTGCAATAACTAGATTTCCCAATGCTTCCTCCTTGTTTCCCTCTCTGTTCAGTTCTTGGCTTATTTTCTCAAATTCCACCTTGGCTTTATTACTGTTAGATGAATGGATTTCATCTTATTAACTGTCCCTTTAAAATTAGGAACACGAGATTCCATCAGTCCTCTAGGTCAAAGGACATGGCCTGAGGTTAGAACACATACATCACTAATGGTACTTCAAGGGAACCTCCATATGACACAAGAATTGTCAATGTGTGGAAGGAACTGCTCAGCCTAGAAGTGCTGTAACCTTTCCCTCTGTGCACAGGACCAACTGGTACTCAGCATAGCAAAACATATCTCTATGGCTTACTTCTGAGCCCAGTCTTGGGACACGATGATCTCTTTTAAGTGAACTTCCTTTTCAAATGGCTTATTCATGCCCACATGACATTCAGAAGAGGTACTCTGGCCTTTAGCCTGTCTGGCTCCAGGAAAATCCCCTGGAGAACAAGATATGTCAGTGTGGCACTTAAAGCTAATAGATCTTAAGCTATGGTTAGGGGCCTTCCTTCTTACTGGAGCATATGGCAAGATTCACAATAAGACAGTATATTAATGGACACACAAGATAGCTCTTTTGTCATTGAAGATTTCACATAGCTGCCATGAGAGCTATATTTCTTTTAGCATCCAGCCACATGTCTGTGTGCAAGGTGTTTATGATTTGAGTCATATTCTTTGTGGACAAATTATCCCCATACCCCTTACCCCCAAAGTCCCTGCAGCTTCCTGTGGATGTTCCCACTTCATTTTTGCCTCCAAGGGCATTGATTCTAATAAACCAGAGAGGACTAAATTGCATTCTACTTCTCTGGTAGACAGAGAAATACGATGTGCTCAAGAACCCACACCATGTGGAAGTGACTAGATGTTTTCTCCAACTAGCTTGCAGAGACTGCTTTTCTGGCCAACTTTAGTTTTCAAAGTTTGTTTATCCATGTTATCAGGGAAACATGAGATAGTATGGGAATCATGAGATTAATACCACATGTTAAAACTTGGTGTTTGAAATCAAGATTCCCATTCTTGGTCTATTAGACACATATGTAAGAAGTTGAAAGATGGTTATTTTAAGATCTTACATGAATAGAATTCTAATTTAGTTTTAAAATCTCTACTTCCTAACTGGTAGCCAGTTTCAATTCTTGCTATTGCTTTCCTCCTACATAGTTTAAATGTACCTTGTATGTTAAAACAACACTAAACATTTTTAGGTTGCATAATATTTTGGGGTACCACTGTGCAGTAGAAACTTCTGCAAAGATGTAAGAGTTCTTTGTTTATGTGGTTTAATATGGTTATAGTTGTCATATATTGGCAACTGATCACTTAAAATACAGCTGTGAGATGGAGGAGCTATGTTTTCAATTTTAATTATCTCAAAATAGTGGCTAGTGGTGCTGTAATGGAATTTCAGTCCTATTCTCTAGTACTCTAGATTATAGTAATCTACTTCTTTTAAGTGGCAGCTGAGAGGGTAAAACTGACAAAGTTTCCTATCTCCTACCTTTGATCAAATGGGTTATAAAAAACTTCTGGCCTTATTAATCTTATAATTCAAGAGATTTTCAATGCTAAATTGAAACCACAAAAGGAGGGACTGAGGGCGGCATACCTCTTGACAATCTTGCAGGAACTTCTGAAGATCCCTGTTGTCCTTCAATCTCATCAGAAGTTCACTGGCTGACTCACGATTCTTCCTGTGTCTGTGAAAGCAGTAAGCAAAATACGTATTTCTAAATCACATAACTTATAAGCCACTATCTCTCCTGAGTTTCTATATATGCTGCAAAGAATTTGCTTAGTTCTCAATCATATGTAGAAGATGAACAAGAGATTCTATCATCCTTCAAATAAACAGGCCATGTACTAGAGACTCAAACACCTGTCCAAACTATATAATCTGCATATAACTGGAACTTCCTAAGCTAGTACTGGGGAAATGATCTGAGCATGAACTCAAGTCCCCATTTTCAGTTCTAAAGCACTTGAAAATTATCAAGAAACTTGTAATTGGGAATAAGGCTAACAAAATATATATAAAATCATGGGCTGGGGGCTGGGAAGGTGGCTCAGTGGTAGAGCGCTTGCCTTGCATGCAAGAGGCCCTGGGTTCGATTCCTCAGCACCACATAAGCAAAAAGAATAAAAGCCGGAAGTGGCACTGTGGCTCAAGTGGTAGAGCGCTAGCCTTGAGTAAAAGAAGCTCAGGAACAGGCCCCAGGACTGGCACCAAAAAATAAAAATAGTTTATTAAAAAAAAAATCAGAAGTGGCACACTGGCTCAAGGGGTAGAGCACTCACTTTGAGCCGAAGAGCTGAGGGACAGTGCCCAGCCCCAGAGTTCAAGCCCCATGAATGACCAAAACAAACAAATAAACACCCCCCCCTTGTAAGATTTAAAGGTTCATATTCAACCTACTGAACAGTAATGGAAAATGGGGACTGGCTCCCTAGCCTGAACATTTCTTTGCTGTCCTCGCTGGGAAATTTCCTCCTGGTGCATCCCTAGAAACAGTGAGAGCAGCAGTGCTGTAGTAGGAAAAGGACCATAATGCAATGGGGGAGGAGCTGTTCTACAGTGAAGACCAAGAAGACCAAGAGGTACTGTCGTGGAGACACGTCTCTGGTCACCTGTACAGTATGTTCAGGGTATCAAGACGGGCAAAGGCAGAATTCAAGTGGGGGAGCTGGGTTTTCATTCTGATTCTCTCAAAGTAATTTCTCACTGATGGTGCTTGGGGGGTGGGGCAGGGTGGTGGTCAAGCAGGGAAGCAGAATGAGCCTCCTGCCAGCTCCTAAGGCAGGAGTGAGAAAAAGCACAACTTAGGATTTCCACAAAACTGCCAAAGAGCAGCTCAGGGAACTTGCTGCTAATGGAGGGCTGAGGAATCTTCCCCAGAAGACAGGTCTGGCAGTGATGGCACATGTCACCTAGGCCCAACTGGCTGTGGTCCATCATCTCTCTGCGTGGGGAAGCAGAGGAAATGCCCCTGCTCTTATGTCTCCTGCAGGTGCCAACGCTGCAGAACTACTACCGTGTTACAAACGGAAACAGCATGGCCATGTCCATATCAGATACATAAAAGGACTTCCCAAAACCTAACGAGATATGACAAAGTAAACGGGACTCAAGAAACAAACCTCTTCATTTGTCATATTGTTTTTAGATGATTCTATGTTCTTGACCCCACATATGTGCACATCTGAGGGAAGCTAGGAGGAGGGCACAGAATCAGAAGGAAACAGGTAATAAAACACAGCAGAGGGGCCCATCAGCTGAACTGGACATTGATGAAAGTGAACTAAACAACTCAAGGGCGGAGGGAGGGAATGAGAAAGAGGGCACAGCTTACACTAAGCAAAAGTAAAGAAATGTACGTATCATCTGATTTGGAAGAAAGAGTTGTACTGTTAAAATTGGTAGAGTTCACAAGCTTTGACCATGATAATGACAATTCACCTTGTAAAGATTAAAATGTGTTTGTGATTTTAGCTAAGTATCACTATCCCCTACAATATTGTGAAATTTATGTAATCACTTACTCTCAATGAAGAAATAAAAAAATAAAAACAAATGACTTCCCAACTGTTTTAAGTTGAAAGGGGTTCCATAGCTTCCCATAAAAAAAGGAATCCTGGGGCTGGGAAGGTGGCTCAGTGGTAGAGCGCTTGCCTTGCATGCATGAGGCCCTTGGTTCAATTCCTCAGCACCACATAAGCAAAAAAGAAAAAAAAACAGCCGGAAGTGGCGCTGTGGCTCAAGTGGTAGTGTTAGCCTTGAGCTGAAGAGCTGAGGGACAGCGCCCAGGCCCAGAGTTCAGGGCCCCACAACCGGATCCCCCCCCCAAAAAAGAAGGAATCTTAACACCCTCAGGCCACTTAGGCAAAATGCAAATGTAGAAAAAAAAACCTTACTATATAATGCTAAATGAAAAGTCTTTATACATATTAAATGCTATGCAACGTCAAGATATAGATTAGAAGAAAAATGCTCACAATAGGTACTAGAGATGGGATTAAAGATAAGATTAAAAATAATAGGCTAAAGACACTGGTGCCACTACTATCTTTCATCAGAAGCCATAAAATGAAGTACAACTTTAATAAAGTAAGGCTAAAAGGAATGAGTCATTCAGAATTGTGGGCGGGTAAGGAATGACAAGAAAATTTCTTGCAAGTCCCCTACCCTCAAATTTCAGCTCTATTTTTATGGGAGAGAAAGAAAGAGAGAAAGAGAGAAGAAGGAAGGAAGGAAGGAAGGAAGGAAGGAAGGAAGGAAGGAAGGAAGGAAGGAAGGAAGGAAGGAAGGAAGGAAGGGAGCAAATCTTCAGCAGTAAAGTAATTTGAGTTGTGAATTGGTAAAATGAAGGAACCTTCCCTTTAGTCAAAGGCCTAGAATAAGATTCCATTTCCTTCATCTGGCATCTCACAAAAGTGCTACAAATGGCAAGGAAGAACCAGATACTAGCAGTTAGAACAAGACCTGCAGCCTAGCATATGAGGAAATCATGGAAATGAAAAGAACTTCAAACACAGTCTAAAGCATTTCTTAAGGAAGATGATCAGACAGAACCTCAATGTTATTTCTTGGTATAATCAAGTCTCACGCATACTTAATAGACTTCTCTGCACATTAAATCTTTTTCTTATAGAAGGCTCTTGACAATGGGAAAAGGGATGCTCCTGAATGACACCACTCCATGGGTGGACATGATGCTGGCCTCTGCTCATCAGCCAGCCATGTAGGTAGTAGACTGTTGCTGACTTAGAGAATGCTCTAAAAGACTGAGTGTGGCCAAATCCTTGGCCAGTGGCAACCATTACTCAAGGGGAAGGCTCTCAGATTTTGATTCACTGACTCAATTGCAGGAAAAGACTTGAGAAGAACTTTCTAAAACACATGTCTTATTTTTACAGGCCCAGAGTGCTCTTTGGGATGAGATTCTCTCGCTTCTTGTCCCCATAACCAAACACAAAAGCTCCCTTATCACACAAAAGTAGATCAAGAACTGAGTATTCTGCTTCCTCAGAAGAGGAAAGACCCTGCTTTGTGAAAGTAGGTAATACTCTTGCCTCTCCATGGACTGGGCTGTGACTGGACTTTTCTTTTTAGCCAAGAGGTTTCTTCCCATATTCATACCCCCAAGGCAGATTTGTTTTTAAAGGCTGCTTGTGCTCTGCCTACAGTTAAGAGGCAGCATTCTTATTTTGGTCCCTTTTCCGCCTTCCTCCTCCCCCCAACTCAGAGGTAACATGGTATTTCCTGAATGTGAGTGTGTCACAACTACATGTTATGAAACTAGCTTCACTACAGCATTCAGACTGTTTCTGGGTTAGAAAATTGGAGGTGGGAAGTTTAGATGTTTAGTTAGCTTGGGTCCTTCCAATACCTGGAACTCAGATTTGTATGCTTTTATAACAGACAAGGATCCTCTAGGGTTAGTTCTATACCTGGAGGCTTCTGAGGATATTAAAGTGAAACCAGAATTGAGATTAATACTAGGAAAGATTAAAAAAAAAAGTAGCCATCCTGATGACTATCCATGTTTATCAATAGTTTAGAATCCTCTTTTCATTTGCCTTTTGAAATTCAGTGCTCTTAAGGAAGCCCTGGAACTCCAAGATCCCAGGCTCTTCGTCAAGGGCAAAACAAAGATTAAGCCACAACTGAGGACTGCTGAAAAGCTCTCCTATCCAGTAGTCACCATCTTGACAGCACCACCTGCTTTCCAATCGCTCCCAACATCCTCACACAGCTGCAGCACTGGAAGACACACAAACCCAGGAAGCAACAGAGCAGCTGCACACTGGCTTGAGTGCATGTGTCTCAGCGCCAACCCTACGTTGGGGAAACCAGCTGTGTGTGTAACTAAAATGGAGGACCAAGAAGTATCATATTCACAAAAACAATGAGAGACATGAGGAAAGATGGAATTCTCTCTAGGCTAAGGAAATGCTCAATTCTGGTTTTGCACACTTATTTAAAAAGCAAGGTAAAAGCTGGGCATCAGTGGCTCAAGCCTAAATGTTAGCTATACTGAAGACTAAGATCTGAGTATGGAGGGTCAAATCCAGTCCAGGCAGGAAAAAAAAAAGAAAAAGAAAAAAGCTGGAAATGGACTTGTGGCTCAAATGGTAGAGCAGAACAAGCTGAGGGACAGCCTCTAGGCCCTGAGTTCAAGCTCCAGGATTGGTGCCAAAAAAAAAAAAAAAAGGCACAAATTTAAAGTTAGTAAAAGTTACGCTATAGTCTACAGAATTATCCTTACAACATATCATTTAGGTTGTGAATCACTGCACAAAGAAAGACCAGAAATGCTGGGAAATCAATGTTTAAGGGAACAAGAGCAATTCTCCTTCTCAACCTACGTTTTGTTTTAAGTTGACCTGTTCTAGAGCGCAAGGGGAGACTTTCAGGATGTGGCTTGCCAGGGAAAGCTCCCAGCAAGCAGTTCTTCCTCTCAAATTGAATGTGAAGGCCAGAGAAACCTGATACTAGTTTTCAAATGAGCTCAAAGCCAACCTAAACTGTAACCAGAGAGGACTGGTTAGAAGAGAGGCTGGCCCAGAGCTAATCCATACTGGGGCATACAAACTTGGAACCAACCTGACTTCCCAAGTTAGGCAATCAGGATAGGGTAAGAGTTAGGGTCAAATGGAGTACACTGGTCTTCAAGGTAGGGAGGAAATCTTTCAGAAGAGAAAGCAATAAAAATAAAGAAGAAAATTTTAAATAAAAAGGAAATAACAAAAATCCAATCCTGAAGTGTGCTAGCAGAAGAAGATGGCCCTTTCTTTCATCATAAGAAAAATCCCATAACAGCATTATACAAGCCAATTTTCTAAGATAATGTTTCTCTGTGACTCTGCCAGGTACTCAAAACAAGCAAATCTCACCATCCTTTACTCTTTCCTGGCAGGCTTCGGAAAAGTCTCACATGGTTGAAGGCAAATGTGGCTTGAGCCTGGAAAAATCTGGCTTTCATCAATGATACCTGTACCCATGGCTTAAACCAGATCTCTACTTAGGATTCATTGCTTGAGGATTAGCTTGGCTTTGCAGGCTTTCTTAGTATATCTTCTTTTTTGTGTGTGAGGGAGGGTTGTGGGGGGGGAGAAGATCCTGGGGCTTGAACTCAGAGCCTGGACATTGTTCCTGAACTTTTAACCTGAAGGCTGGTGCTCTACCACTTGAGCCACAGCTCTATTTCTTGTCTTTTTGGTGGTTATCTGGATTTAAGAGTCTTACAGACTTTCCTGTTTAGGCTCTCCTCAGACCTCAGCCTCCTGAGTAGCTAGGATTACAGGCGTGAGCCACTGATGCTCAGTCTAGTACATGTCTTTTAAGAATCATATCCTGGGGCTGGGAAGGTGGCTCAGTGGTAGAGTGCTTGCCTTGCATGCCTGAGGCCCTGGGTTCGATTCCTCAGCACCACATAAGCAAAAAGAAAAAAGCCGGAAGTGGCACTGTGGCTCAAGTGGTAGAGCACTAGCCTTGAGCTGAAGAGCTGAGGGACAGCACCCAGGCCCAGAGTTCAGGCCCCACAACCGGACCCAAAAAAAAAAAAAAAGAATCATATCCTAAGACAGGCATGCACTGCTCATTAATTTTCTGTGTAAGTAGATGACCATTTGCTTAGTGTCCATATTCTGCCGATTGGGAAACTTACACCACCGTCTTCACTGTCTAAGCACCAATAGCACACAAGCTGGGGAGTGTGAGATTCCCTTGGAAGCTTCAGAAAACCTTACCTGTCATCAATGGAGTCCACTTTTTCTTGGATGCGATCGGAATTGATGTTTCCATCGCTCACCAACCTCCGGCCTGTCTCCACAACAGCATTGATCTTCTCCTCGTTGGCATCCATGGTGGTCATGAAGTCCTCTTGCTTTTTAATAGCGGCTTCAGCTCCTTCCAGGGTAGTGGGCATTTCAGTATGAGCCAAAACATACTCCTGATTTTAAAGGAGAGGAAAAAAAAAAAAAAGAATCATGGTAGCATGATATATTAACAAAAGAATTCTTATTTCTTGTGCTGTATGTTTCCATGTAACACATTTCATAACTCTTGTTTTGTTGCACTGATGTGAAAAAAGCTACTGAATCAAATAAAAAGCAAGCAGAGATGTAAAAAATCGGAGTGGCATGTCTGAATTAACTTTCTCCAAGTGGTTAAATAATCTAACCTTTCACAGTAAGAAAAATAATGGAACCTTTGTATGTCAGCCACCTGGGTCCTGTTTTGCTCATGAAGACAATGGCAGTACTCCCTGCAAACTCTTGTCTTATAAGATATACTGTCTTCTTTTTGTACTCTATGCCTTGTGTGTCCTTGATCCTAAAGCAAGGACAAGCTACTTGGTAAAAAAAAAAATTTAAAAACCCCACTATACCATTTGAATTAGACTAATACTTTACAGAATGTTTCCAACTAAACTATTATGAAGAAATAACATGAACAGAAAAGGCCTTCAACAGTAGCTGACATGGAAATTTCAGAAATCTTCAATTCTTATCTTTTACTTTGTGGTAAGAGTTTGGTGATTTAAGAGTCAAAGAAAAAAACAACAGACCCTACAGTAACTTCACACTGGTATGGCTGCCAAGGGCAGGCCTCGCCAGCTTCAACAGGAAAGAAGCAAAGGCAGCGACACATTACCTGGTTGTTAAGAAAGGCTTCGGCTTGCTTTGTGTCCCTCAGGAACTGCTGGTAGGCGTGGGACTGGAAGAGGAGATTTTGCCTGTTCTCCCACATTTTGTGGAGTTCATTCCATCCAGTGTCCAAGGCCTGTAGCCGCTGGCGCAGAAACATGTACTGGGCATCAGTCTGTCCCTGGGTGACCATCTCACCCATGTCCCTCATCTTCTGGTAGTCCTCCTCATAGTTGTCGATCTCATTTTTGATATTTTCATGCTGTGTGAGAAGCTTCTCTGCCTCGGTCAGGGTGTTGGGCATGTCCTCAGAGGCGATGGCTGTCTGGGTCCTGGAGAGCCACGACTGGAAGTCATCCAAGTCCCGTAGGAACTGCTGCAGCTTGCTGGCTTCTCCCAGGGAGGCCTCTCGGTTCTTCAGGGTGGTCTTCATCTCCTCCCACACGTCACTGATCTCGGCCAGCCGAGACAGGATTGCCTGAGCCTGGTCGGGGTGCTCAGACTCCAGCTTCTCTGCCTCCTTCTGCAGGTCACTCAGCTTTGCCTCGATGGCAACCAAGTCTCGCTCCATGCCAGTCAGCTTCCGCTGTAGGGCCATGACTCCAGCCAGGTCGTTGCCTAGGTCCTGGGTAGATTCAATAACTTTGGTTTTTTCTCGAATCCAAGATTTGGTTTCATTGCACTCAAGATGATAGTTTTGGATGCTCAGGGCAGACAGAAGAGCATCCTTCTTCCTGTCAACCAGTTCTCTGAACTGACTCCACCTGTGAGTACAGAGAAAAACATGGTAAGGGGAGACTGAATCCATGGCTGGATACTAAAATGAACAGTGATGGTTAAAGTTACCTAGTTTTAACCTTCCATCTTAACTTGGACTATATGTTTTCTGGAAAATGGTCTCACTCAGTAAACTGACATCAAATATGACAGAACTGGTTAGGGGATGTATTACCCTAACCAATTGTGTAAAGAGATCCAACACAAACAGTTGTACCACATCTATTAATCCATAGCTGCTATACACACCCTACTCATCTCCAAGCCCATCCTAAGGAGTAATTCCTTTTTTTTTTTGTCTGTCATGAGGCTTGAACTCTGGGCCTGGGTGCTGTCCCTCAGCTCTTCAGCTCAAGGTGAGCATTCTACCACTAGAGCTACAGCACCACTTCCGGTTTTCTAGTGGGTTACTGGAAATAAGAGTTTCACGGACTTTCCTTCCTGGGCTGGCTTTGAACCACGATCCTCAGATCTCAGCCTCCTGAGTAGCTAGGATTACAGGTGTGAGCCACCAGGGTCTGGCCCTAAGGAGTAATTCTTAAACCCAAAGGTTGACAGCACTCCTCATTACTGAGGCCAACTATCCTCCACAGCCTGCTCAAACATGGCTCAACAGAAAGCTTCAGATTGAGACAAAGTCTACCCTAACAACTGGGACTTTCATTGGAAAATCAGATCCCAAACATTCTAGACTCTTGGTCCAGAAATCATTTAGAAGGGACAGCACAGGTGCATGTTTCTTTCACCATACTAGGTAGATGCCACACTAAGGCTCCAACTTCAGTAGAGGGAGGGGGAGGTACTGGGTTGACAATGCTCATCCTCCTATGCTAAATATGCCATCCCTCCTCCAGAACTACTTCTGGAGAAAGGAGGATGAGGGTGTGTGGAAAGGCATATGTCAATGTTCTGATATCAGTGCTGCAATGACCACACATGGGAAGTTTTCCTGACAGCAAGGCTTGGAGACTGACCTCACCCTCTCCAGTCTCACACATAGGCAGCTGGCACACTGCTGTCTTGCTTACCTTGTATTGAGTTTGTCCTGTTGGGCTTTGATTTCCTTCTCACTGGGATGGCCACTGTGCATCAGCTGACGTGCAATCTGGTTTACTACAGCAACCCGGGAAGCCTGGTTGTTCATTTCTGGTTCGAGGCTCTCAAACCTGCAAACAACAATTCAACAGAGGGGTGACTCACATGGCCACAGGTAGTCACAGAAGTTGGTCAACACCCTCGGGCCCTGGGCAGCAATTCCCACTTACCTGTGCTGGATGACTTCTAGGTCCTCCAGTTTCTCTGGGATCTGCATATTATTGAGCCACTGCTCCTTCTCATCAATCCAGAGCTCACAGGCATCAGCCTCGCTGAACATCTTGTACAGGGCCAGGGTGTCCTGCAGCGCCTGTTTCCTCAGCCGTGTGAGCTCTGCCACTTCCTTGTAGCGCTCTTCAATGCCCGCCAGCCGTCCCCTCACATCTGGAGACTCTGCGTGAGCCTGGGGGAGGGCGCTGGCTTGCTCATGCAGCGTGTCGATTGTGGGCCTGTAATTGGTGATCTCTTCAGCCACATCCTTGTGTTTTTTCACCAGAGACTGTGTGGAGTACTCGTCGTGGCCCACATCGTTGCTGGAGACTATCTTGAGGATGTCCAGCATCCAGGCATCAATGTCATCGGCATCTGCCTGGAACTGATGTAGAAGTGAGGCCTCCTCCAGCCGCTTCTTCCGAATAGCTGAGAGCTGTTCCAGGTTGGCCCATTGCTCCCGGATGTAAATGATCCTCTCACGGATCTTTTCTGATCCAAAGTGCTCCTCCGCAATCATATCTTCACCTTCTTTGATAGCCTGCTCGAAGTGGCTGCTGCGGCCGCTCATCTCGTCCTCAAATGCCCGGTGCTTGCTGAGCAGGCGCATGACACTGGTCAGGTCTTTCCCATAATCATCAGAGGACAGGATCTTCTCCTTCTCTCGGATCCAGCCTTCCTCTTCTGCCATCTCCCAGAAGAACTTCCAGAGACGGCGAGACTCTTCCAGGCGGGCCCGGCGCTCAGCTGCTAGCTGGCAAAGCTCTTGGTAGCAGAACTCCATGTGAGCCACCCGGTCTCGGATCACTTGAGGGTCACAGGGCTTGTAGCCTGTTTAATACCAAGGCAGGTATGTGGGTGTTTGACAGAGGTTAGCATGGGTTCCTCCTCATTTTCAGGCAGTAAGCCATGACCTAACTATTGATTACCAGCTCATTCTTAAGAGCAGGGCTATGTGAGGAGGCAGGGAGTATCTCCTAGGATCTTGACTGGAACAGGAGGAAGGGGCAATGACACATATCACTCTTTGGGCTCAACTGTAGACAAAATCATCACTTATGAACCAAGAAAACACATAAAAAATATAAAAGAAGGTAGTTTGCATTCCTGTTTCTAAAACTGTTAAGAAGCAATGCCAAATGCTTCTAAACCTCCTCTAACCAGAGGATGCAAACAGGTGCCCAAGTCATGAGCTGCAGGATGGCCACACTAAGCAACTAGAACACGTATGTATGGAACGTGATCTGGCAGAGTTCCACGGCCAAACACTACACCATTTGAAACCCAGTAGCCTTTGAGTGTTAAAGGAAAATACCTATTTCAGAAAAAAAGAGACAGGAATTAAAGAGTTCAAAAGGCCACTCCACTGCACTCAACTCAGAAGCAAAGCCACCAGGAACCATCAGTGGTGTAGTAGTTTTAAAAGCCCCACTGCCGCATACAACACAAAGCTCATGTGCTCTACAGGAGTACATGAGAGGGATGGTCTGCCCTTACCTTCCCCATCTGTTGCAAATTTCTGGGCAGAGGCGTTGACACCCCTAACACGCTCTGCCTGGATTCCAATGTCCGCTTCAACGAGAGCATGCTTCTGTAACAGGTCCTCCACACCAAGCAAGTGTTTGCCATAGTCTTGAGATAATAATAGCACCTGTTCAGAAGAGGCAACAGAAAAGACATCTGTGAAGACAACCCTTGACTTCAGCATCACATAATCTTTGGAAAAGCACATCTGGCAACTGAGGAGTACCTTTCCTCTAGCTTACATCTGACCCAATGCCTTTGAAAAAGATAAGAACAAGCTAGAGTAAAGCAAAACCAAACAAACCTGGAAGCCAGCATCAGAAGAGACATAATAAACTAAGGGCCATTTACTTTGGACTAGACAAGGTAAATCTATACTAAAATATACACAAAGGAAACTCTAAGGGGTGGGGCACAAGGGACTTATGTGAATGATTCCAAGATGTAAACAGAGGTTTCAAGAAGATGCTGCAACAATACCACTCAAGAAGGTAAAAGACAAAGGTAATCCATTGTTCCCTTCAAAGTTTTCAGTGAATGCCTTCCCTCCCAGGGCTAGCTGATATGCTTCTATGACAGCTATAAAATCAATGGGAGAATCTAGTTGAAAGGCTTACAAGATATATCTTGAGCCCAGTAAGAGCAGGATCAGGTAACTATCATGTTTAGCAGACTCAAAGCAACATGTTTGGTTTAATTTTGAACTCACTGACATTTTTTTTCTTTCATCAGTCAGCCAATTTTTTTCCATCAACTATGCTATGTCCTCCTCAGATGGAATTTCTACTGCAGCCAACATTTCCAAGGAAGTCTCTGATCTAATATGAATTATGTGCATCCTGATTATACAACAGAAAGCACCTCTCTGCTACATTTTATGAACATTTCTACTTTAAAAGGTCAAGATGGATCATACCTAAAAGCATTGTAAATCTGGGACACTAAAAGAAAACTGACAGTATCAGGTAACCTTGCCCTTCTGCCAAAGCAGTTCGAGAGGTAAGCTATTTAGATGAGGGCTGACATCCTGGGAAGTATCTGTTGTGTAAGGTCCAGCTTGGGAACATAGTATACTTCACAGGGTTGTGTAGAAACTGCTCTCTTCTGTTCTGTATCTCCAGGGCTCAATATCTCCCAGCTGGAGAACTGCTTAATATGGCCTGTATCACAGGAAAGAACCAGGCCTGGCGCTATGGCACAATAGTAGGTCTCAGTACTGGGTAGGGGAAAGCTAAGAACTCTGTGCTCCAAGCTGTCCATAATGGAAGGAGGAAGCACAAAGCAGAACTAGCAAGCAGAACTAGCCATTACCATCCAGCACCATCCTGCAAGAAGATGAAGGAGGGAGGTTCAAAAGAGGTAAGGCAATGCAGGCACTCCATATCCGAACTCCTGGCCTGTGCGTTGTTCACAAGGCCTTCCCAATGCCATTATCATCCATACATTAAAAAAAGATCCTCTATCAACTGAAAGCTACTGCATTTCAAATAATTTTTTAAAAACCCACACAATTTACTTGATTCCCCATAGTGGAATGTATTCAAGTTCAATCTAACTCACAGTACCAGACATCTAGCAACGAAAGGAATCTTCACTGGTGCTCCTTACAACTTTTGCACATTAAACCTCATTGGATTCATGAGCTGATCCTGGGTAGTGTAGGCCTCTGGCTTTATAAAGTGCACTTTATAAATAAAATGTGAGTGCTGAGGAATTACTAAGTAGGCCTCTCCTACTTAAGAGTCACTACCTTCATTTCATCCATCCAGTCCATAATGTAGAGCATTTCCTGGAATATTTTTTGCAAGCCTAAGTTCATCTCGAGACGCTGTCTCCTAGCTCTGAGCAGTTCCAGCAGGTACTCCCAGAGCCGGATGACATTGTCCTTCCTCGCGGTGATGCGCTTGATGTCATGGTAGTTCTCTGCCTCAAGCTCCCTGGCCACGGCCACCACAGCCTGCACACGTTCCTCGTATGCGGCAATGTCTGTCTCAATGGCCTCGTGCTTTTTTGTGGCGGCTTCAACTGCGGGAAGGTCAAATCCAAAGTTGTCCTGTAGAGAAATGTGAATAAGAAGCAATACAAAATAAGTCATCCAATCTAAAACATGGGAAAGAGGCAAAGAGAAAAAGAAAGGAGGGAGAAGGGAAGGAAGAGTTAAATATGTCTCTTGGTTTCCCTCCATAACTGATCTCTTTAAGAAAAGGATCCTTTAGACTCCTTGAAATAAACTTCAATACCCTCCCCAAAAGACATTAGCAATTTCTCCTTCTGTCTGGAGGGGCTCATCTCATATCTAGCACTCAACTTTAAGAGACTGGAATGAGTGAAGTTTATGTCAAACCAAGGAAAAGAAAGCCACTTTTATTTATTTCACAACCAGTCTCACTGCTCTGAAGAGTTTGTTGGTCCAAAAAAGGGTAGTTTTTGTTTTGTTTTTAAAATAAATGGTTCACAAACTCACTGGCTCTGAACTGTTTGAGCCACTTCCAAGTCAATGACAAGTTAGCTAAGAAGAGAAAGTACATTGGAAATTATAAACATCCTCTTCATGGGAAGTGGGTGAGATGAGGAGACAGTAGCTTCCCACCACTGGATGTTGATAAGCAGCTGTTTGTGGCTCAGGGTCCCTTGAGTACAGAGGCTGTTTCTAGACCACCCATCTACATTTCTGTAGGAATGGAGAGAACAGGACCTGGGATACCAGGCGCTGGTTTTCGCTTAGCCAAGTCTCCCTCATAGCTGCCTTGCGATCGAATCTGCGGGCGAGCTGTTCCAGTTTCTCTTGTCTTATGAGCTCATTACGCAGGGCCAGTTCTCGCTCATGTTCTGCTTTTTCCAGTCTTTCCCAGGCCTGGAGAAATTAAAAAAAAAAAAAAAAAGAATGATTTCCTGTGACATTCAAGGAACCTTCTGTGGCTACACCAACAGCTACTGTTTCTCAGGATGACCTGAGAACTTGACAGGGAAATCCCATTCCTACCCTCCTGGACTCGAAAGCCTTGAGAAAACAAGAATTTTCCTCCTAGGGTAGCCTCAGGGGAATCCTCTCCCCGGTGCCAGGAAAGCAAAACAGTGTAGATATGGAGCAATGAAACTGAATTATAAATCTCTTTAACGGGAAACAAAATAACTAATTTAAATGCTGACCACCTAAAGAGGCTAAATAATTTCTCTCAGGATGAAATCATAGCATTAATTTCTCATTTACTCTACTCTGAGCTGTTTTTCAAAAATCCACATCTTAAAACTTCTTTCATAATCCTGCCTATACTAACTTTACTCCTGTAAAACTTCACGGTAAAAAAAGTAAGCCCAAACACTTCAACTCAAAGGAATCTAAGTGTATATAACTGGCTAGATTTTCAGATTTTTCTAATGACCAGTTAGAAATAATGTCTACGAGGAGAAGTTTTATAAAGTCTTGCAGACAAAATCAGCTTCTCTGACAGAGGGGCATGACATGAAAGCCCACAACCTAAGTCTAGAGATTCCAAACCCATGAAATAAGGTTTCCAGTTCTGAAGATGTTTGAGTTAACTGCCCCAGACACTGAGTAAACTTTTCAAGGTAGTCTGAGCTAGGGTTGGCTTGATTAAATCTAAAATTGCCCCTAAGGCTCCAGTACCCACTGGCCCATTATACTTATTTTCTGGAGCCACTGCCATGGCTGGCATTCACCAATTCAGGAGGCAGGCAATGACCTTTTCATTCTCCTGTCCTCCCAGCAATGAAGAACCGCCAAGACTGATGCATTGTGACTCATACTTTCAATCCCAGCTACTTGGGAGAAGAATGGGAACTCAAAATTTGATGCTAGCCCAGACAAAAAGTTAGCAAGATCCCATCTTAATAAATAAGCTGGGTGTGGTGGTGCACACCACCTAGCTACGTAGGAGGATAAGGTATGACAATTGTTGTCTGGGGATGGCCTCAGGGGAAAAAAACAAACAAAATACGCCCACCACAGACTCTACTAAAAAACAACTAAGGAGTAAAATGAAATAAAGAAATTATGTAAGAAAAATCCAAAATCTGTAGGTCAGGGCCAAAACAGGACTTCTTGAGTCAGTTACCTTGTTGATATCAGAGATGAGCTTGCCCTCTCTGGGCATGTAGACCTTCTGATTGTTGGCCCTCATCTTGCTCTGAATAGTGAACAGTAGCACTTCCAAGTTTCCCTTTTCAGTAAATCTGAACATAGAGGAAGTTAGCCATAAGCATTAGTTACTGTGTTCATTTGCAACTGGAGGACAAAATTTTTTTACCTATGCAGAGAATTTTAAAAGCCATTTATCTCTGGTGTGATGTTATCAGCTGTGTGTATTAGAGAGACAGCAGTTCTTCCAAACCTTGGAATATGCCAAAGGAATTTTTTTGCAGTCGTTTGTTGTTGTCAAAGGCATAACTTTTTTTTTTTTTTTTTTTTTTGGGGGGGGGGGGGGGGGGGAAGGGTCCGGTCCTGGGGCCTGAGCTCTGGGCCTGGGCACTGTCCCTCAGCTCTTCAACTCAAGGCTAGCGCTCTACCACTTGAGCCACAGTGCCACTTCTGGCTTTTTTCTTTTTGCTTATGTGGTGCTGAGGAATTGAACCCAGGGCCTCATGCATGTAAGGCAAGCACTCTACCACTGAGCCACCTTCCCAGCCCCACAAGATACTTTTTTAATTAGTCATAAGCAAGGTTTAATCCATACATCTGGGACAATAGGCTTCTTTCATTTAGAGAATATGGGCCACTGTATTTAACAGAATTATTTCAAATGTCTAGTTAGTATATTTTTCAGTTGTTTCCAGAGACTTCACCAAGAAATGCAATTTGAGTTCTCAAATAAAATAAAGAGTACTTCTGGAATTATAGTAAACAAAGTAAAGTCCACAGTCTTTATTTAAGAATTATAGTTGGTGGGACAAAATAAATTATCCAGTTCGCTAGGCATTCACATACAGTGAGACCAAAGGAGGATACTCTTAGGAGACAAACAGAAAGGCACAATGCCTATGTGCATCTGATTATGCAGAAGAATATTTATCAAAACGAACTACAGGAAATGGAAACGAGGGGTTTTTTTATTTTTTGCTGTGTTTTTGTTTTCTGTCCCTTTTGTCCTGTTTGTTTGTTTGTATGCCTTTGGGAGCGTAAGTAAGGTGAGGCACAGAAATGGAGGGACAAAAGGTGAACAAATGTAGCAATGGTGCTCACTGGACACTGTTGAAAATAAACATACAACTTGTGGGTAGGCATGGGAGGGAAAACCTGGGAAGGGGTGACATTGTCCAAAAAAAAATGTACTCTTTACCTAACTTATATACCTGTTAACACTCTGTACATCATCTTTATAACAATTAAAAAATTAAAAAGAATTATGGTTGGGCATTGGTAGGTCATGCCTAAAATATTAGTTAGGAAACAGAGATTAGGGTCTAGGCTATTCTGGGCAAAAGTGAGATCCTATCTCAAAAAAAACAAGAGCAAAAAAAGGGCTAAAGTATGGCTCAGGTGATAAAGTACCTCCCTTGTGATAAAGCACAAAGCCTTGATCAAACACTAGTATCACCCTCTCCCCCAGAAAAGGAGTCAAAGTTATATAAAAAAATCACTTTGCTGGACAATAAAACCTGATCTGAACTGATCAGGAGCTACTGTCTTTAACACAGTACTAATGTATACATTTTGCCACAGCTATTTACTGGGCTTGATTCTAAGGTACTGTTGCAGACTCACTTGAAGTCTAACACTGGATAGCACACTTTCTGTGTCCTTTTTCTCCTCCCTTTTTTGAGATAGGGTCCTACTATGCAGCCCAGCCCATCCTGGCTTCAAACTCAGGATCCTCCTATCTCTTCCTGACTGCTAGGATTGCAGGCATGTGCCATTGTGCTTGGTTTCTCTGTGCTGACTTTCTTAAATTCAAGAAAACATGGTATTTTGATGGACAGTCAGCACGAAGATTTTGGAGAAGGGACTGGGGACCTGTATCATTCTTTAGGCTTCTCTCTTTTCCTTACCTCATTGGCACATTCCTACTGAAAAGGGCTTGGAGAGCATGATTTATGGTAACACAGTAACACGGAACTAAGAGGATGAAAAGAATTAGGACAGGCCACAGGTGAGAGGCACTCAAGAGATGAAATCACAAATGTCTGAAATCAGAGGGCCACTCGCTGCTATTTTCCCCTCTTCTATAACAATGTGCATCTTACTTGGGTGGTTTCTCCACAGTGCGGTAAGTGTTGAATGCCTGAAGCTGCTGTTGAACCCCGACCAGAGAATTGGCAAATTTGCGATTGTTCAGAATAATGATGGTTTGTTCAATCCATTCCAAAAGGTCAGAGGCAAGTGATTCATACTTTTCAATCATTTTTTCTGTTTCAATGGCATTGTCAAGCACCTGTAAACAATGGTTAGAAAAACTGAACATCAAGATGCAAATAACATCACCATGCAAAGAAAACATGACTGCTAAATCCCTATGAACACAGGCACTTAGATGACTGGTGTGAAACAGTTCTGTGCCACTTTGGCAGAAGAGCATTTTAACTCAACCATTTACAAATAGGCATGTAGCCTGAGTCTATTATTTTGAGCAATGACAGCTGAACTCTCAAATTCTTAGAGAAATAAAAGGGCTCTTTTTTCAGCTTGACTCCATCTCATGAATTTTCCCTTCCACTGCACAAGGGAGGACAATGTAATCTAGTCTAAAGTGGTTTGAAAAATATAACAGGTGAACACACAAAGTAAAAAAATATATGATGGAGGCTTTTTCATTTAGAGAGAGTAGGGTTTCATGGCCATGACATTAACCACCCCAATCAGACTGCAACGCCCAATTTTCTGGAAAGGGTAAGAAGAGAAGTTTTTATATCTGAGATCCCCTTCAACTCTTTCTAGACATTTTATCCATCAATCCACCTCTTAATACCCCTGAGGAAGAAGCGGCTTCTCCTGGTATTCTGCTACTTATTGAGGCCATCCCAAGCTACTATGTTTGCTACTGGCAAATTTGGGTGCATGGGATGAGAAGGGGCTCAGCTGTAGTACAGGAAGACAGAACTCACTAAATCGGTGTGAGCTCACCTTTCCAATTCGTTTTCCCTCAACAGCCAAGGCCTTCATCTTAGAGAAGTAGTGGTAGTAAGTCACCACGTAAGTGATAATAGACTTCTCATCAGGGTGATCCACACTGATATCTGAAACGCAGAGAAGAATTTGTTGAGGGCTGTGCTCACAGTGCCACCCAGGCAGCAGGAATAAGCTGAAATAACTGTACTCATTTTGAGGATAATAAGAATGAAAGCAAATCACTGATTCACTGAACCCTAGAATATATACAACATGCCTGCTACAGACACCACGCTGATCTCCCTGCTGTCTTATCTCAATCCTTAACATCAAATCCCTAATACCCTATCTCTGCTCATGGCACCAGAATCTCTGCCTAACCTCGGTCTTCAGTCATCTATTTCTCCTTATCATCTATTTCTTTATTGTGATTGATTACATAATTTCCCAAATTTCACAGTATTGTGGGATAGTGATTATCATCTATTTTTTATTGTCTCTCAGGGTTCAGACACTGAGTGACATAACCAGTCAGACCTGGGACAATGCTCCCTCTCTGGGGAGTACTGTCCTGACTGTACACAATGTACCCAGACCGACCTAAGAGCACAGCACAAACACATTTTCCTGTCGCTAACGTATTCAAAAGTGCCCTTCGGTCTGAAGAATTAAGAGTAAGCCCTTTAGTGTTCTAGAATTTGGCTCTAACTTTTCTTCTCTTTTTCATTTACCTATTCTTCAAATATTTATCAGGCTTCTAAATACCAAGTAATGTGCATTCCTAATTTGACAGCCTACTACTTCTCTTTAGATACCTTATACCTGAACCAAACATGATTCTCTCCATTTTCCAGGCATGTCCCATATGTTCCAATATGGATGGCTCTCCTTCCTTCTTCACAACTTGCCTTGCTTAAAGGGGCCTTTTACATTCTATCCCTCAACAGAGCAAATGTTACACCCAACACAGCCTCTTTTCATTCTCATAGCTGGGAATTATTGCCTCCCCTGTTCCCTTAGGATTCTGCTTGAGATCACATAGTCTACTTTCTGACTGTCATTATTTATTTGTGTTTTATTTGCCTACATATGTCAATTACTAAGGAAAGAACTTTGCCTTGGTCCCTTAGTCCATTCCACTTTCCTAGTGTGCTTTCTGCACAAAGTGGGTCATCAATAAACACTTACTGAGAGAGAAGGTGAATGAATATGAATGACAAATAGGCAATACTGAGGAAGCACCCAGCCCCATACAGATTGACAACAGGACATACATGATGGTTCTCAATAGTTGAATCAGGCTCTTTCTCAGCATATATTCATAACTATATCTGCATCTCTATTCTCCAAAAGACCTTGAGTGAAATGATTGTTTTTTGGGTGCTGGAAGCTCACTTCTATAATCCTAGCTACTCAGGAGGCTAGACCTTGCTTTGAAGCCAGCTCAGACAGGAAAATCCATGAAACCATATCCACAATTAACCACCAAAAACAAAACAAAAAAAAGCTAGAAGCAGAGCTGTGGCTCAATTGGTAGCAAACCAGCCTTGAGTAAAAAAGCTAAGTGACAATGTACAGGCTCAGAGTTCAAGTCCTAACATTGGCATGTGCGTGTGTGTGCGTGTACACACACACACACACACACACACACACAGAGTTTTTCTTATTTTAAGCATGAGAACAGTAGGGCACAGAACAGGGATCCTAACCTAGGTTCACCAAGGCAGCCAGTGATAATGAGATCGAGAACACAGCTACTGCTCCTTCCTAAGGACTCTATCAACTCGGTCCCATCAAAATGTGTCCAAAGGAGAGAACTGAAGGACAGCCGGGGGGGGGAAGCCATTCATGCAATTTAATAAACAGAAATATCAACACAGTGGAAAGAGTGTGGAACCAAAATTGGTTTTCTAACTTGTCTACAAGTGAATAACTAGTAATACTTGGGTGTTTGGGGCTAAGAATAACTAAGAATCAGGAATAAACCCTCCCTCAGGATATATGGCATCAGCTGCTGTTGTTAGCTCCTGTACTGTCATCTGAGCAACATCAATGCCCTTTTTATATTAGAAAGATGAACCCATGAGCAAGTTATTAAAAACTTTTGTCAATGTTACAGAAAAAAAAAAAGAGGTTACTTGTAAAAGCACAAAGTGCTAGGGCACAGAAAAATCTCCTTCCCATAGTAATGAAGGGGTTAAACACAAAGATTTACTGTAACTCAAGTAATTTTAGCTTTCTGTTTACATTGAGAAATCATTTAATGGGTAAGCACAAAGATAATTTTATCTCAGCTTCCTGTAGTAGACATATCAGTGCATCTGATACACTGGAGAGTAGCAAAAAAACCAGCTTGGCAGTCCCCTGACCTCCATCTGCCCTTGGGGAGCTAAGCTTCCTGTTTTATATTTATCACAACTTTCAACTTTCAAACACTCCTCCCCCCTCCCTTCACTCTCCCTCTAATATTTGCTCATAACTGAGAGGAACTATAAACCTCGAGCATTGCAAACAAATCTATTTTAAATGCTTCTCAACATTAGAAAAAATTCCTAAGAGCCCATACTGCACTGAAACCTAAATGCGAACCCAGTGGGCTGCCCAACAAAGGTTAGCTCTGTGCTACCTCGTCAGACGTGAGCTGCTGCAGAGAGTGACAGGTAGAGCCATCAGTTCCATGCAGAGAATGGGAGGTAGTCAAATATAAGAAAATAAAACTGTGAGAACTGCTTCTTCTATCATACATTCCCCGAATACCATCTTCCTAGTGTAACCTCTCAGTTGCTCACAAGCAAAGTACAGCCTCCTAATGAGGTTCATGTCCCAATTTCCACCTACTACAAAGCATCCCTTTCCCCTTAACTGAATGTCAATCAACAAGCATTCATTGAGTGTCTATATAGGTTGTCTACTGTTAGAGCTGGTGCTAAGATCCACCAACTCTCCACTACCTGCTGAACAACCTCAAAAGTTTTTAACCTTTGGGGCCCTTAACTTCCTTGTCCTTCCCTGGTATATTTCTTACTGGGATAGGACGTCCACTAAATCCTTGGTCCTCACACTTGTTTTCTTCCTTCCTGGTCCATTTCCTTTACACCTGGTGCTTAGTGTTCCTTGTCACACTGTTTTAAGTCATTCTCAACTTCCAAAACCTTGTCCAATGTCATCCTTCTCCTATATCCTTAGTTCCTATAACCAAATATTTAAGCTCCTCTTCTTTAGCTAATTCCCAAAGCCATACTGCAAACCAACACAAATCAGATTTTGTTATTAACCCTTTGACACTAACCACCAAGCATTCATATAATTCTTACCTTCAGGATCCAACAGTTTAGTGAGGCCGAGGTGCTGCTCTGCCAGGTTAAATGCATTCTGAAGATTGTAGTGTGCATTGGATTTCTTCAGTTTATCAAAATCTATCAGGTCAGGCCTATACACAACAACAAAGGAAACAACAAAAATTATGTCCTGGAAATACATCCTATAACTAAATGAGATGTAATTATTGCTGATACTGAGATATGATTTTTAATGTTAAAACAGCTACTATGTTGTGAAAAACTACAAGATTAGAATTCATGTATTCTCTAATATTTTCTCCTTCTGGAATGAAGAAATTTCCACTGTGGTGCAAAAATCAAAGGCAACGGATATGAGACTCAAAGGTCACCCCTATTTGCTATAGAAGAATGTCAGCAAATATTCTACTCTATAGTGGTCAACTTGAATTCTTCAACTTACCGGTGCTTGTGTATTAGTGCATTAAACGCCATACCATCTCTCCAGCTAGTAGTAAAATTGTGAATGTTGACATTGGGGTATCTGCCAAGTACAAAGTGTAAGAGAAAAGCCACAGAATTACCAAATAAAAGTTTATACTTTTGCTCAATACAGTACTTAAAAAAGAAAAATATTTCTAAGCATAGTAAAATCCAAGGCAGAAAATATCAATTAAGATAATGACAGAGAACGAAATCTTTTCAAATATGATTTTTATACAATGAAAATAAATATACAGCTGTGTAGCTTCTTCTGTACGTTAATTCAATCTCACAAAAGTTGTGAACTATGTCCTAGATTTAAACTGCTACTTATTTAGGAAAGAGTGACTACAACTTTGACATGGTTGAGACTTTCTTGCTTCTGCTGGCTTTCTAGTCTACTTACTAAGACCCTGGGATTTCAAGTCACTGGATCTTAATTCACAAGCCACTCTGGGACAAGAGTAGCTGGGACTACCTGTTCATATGACACTCAGTTTTTTTTGTCTTACTTCATTTAATTGAACAAAGTTTTAGAAAATACAGTAGCTCCCTAAAAATGTTCCTTGGTTTGTAACTTAACCCCCAATGAATCAGCTAGGGTATGTCCTACTAGTTATTAATAATTTATACTTGTGGTTGATTAAAGGCTCATGCCTGACTTGACCTGCTTATTAGGCAATATGTGTCTTATAGCTTCCATACTTCACGTTCATTAGTTATAGCTACCTCTAGTTTTTACAGTAACTCAAATTAACCAGATATAAAAGCACTTTTCATTAAGAACTTACGACCCTAAGCCAATTTGATCTAAACAGACTCGATGAGAAGTTTGCTGGCTTAATATAAGCTGAACTCAGACAACTTCAATGATCATCAAAATAAGGCAGTTCTCTAAAAAATATCCTCACTAACTTTTAGTGTGAGAATAAAAGGAAGGGAAGCAGGAGGCAGATGATACGCAGTAATTACTGTTAAGTTTACTGCATAAAGCTCCCCAAAACAGCAGAAATTAGGGGGAGGAGAAAACTGCATTTTTAAAACATGGTGGGTATGACTCTTAAAAGTACCCCCAGGATTTAAAAATCCAAAATATAATGGTCTCTGGAGCTTCCGGAGCAACTGATTGAAGAAAAATGACAGGTTCAAAATATAAATCAAAACTCCTTCTATTCCATTCCGAGAACTAGCTGAAATGCCAACATAGCAACCGCTTCTGTGTTAACAAGACTGAAAGCCGAGGACAAGATACTGTCAACACTTTATAAGTGACTGCAGTGGCTTTAATCCTGGAACACACAGCCCTAGTGCCCTTTGCATTCCCACTCACCCAGCTGTCTTCATCTGGCACCACAACAGCAATGCATCCTTGGCAGACTTCTTCTCTTTATTATCTTCAGTTTCTACACTGATATCTTGGATCTAAGATGTACAAAGGAATATTACAGTGCTTAACAGTCACTGAAGAACAGATCTGCATTTATATAAAGAGTAAACAAGATCTCACCCTGAAGATTACATGTTATGTCTATCAATAAAAACTGTGTCCTCAAGTCCGAGATCACCTTGGAAACACCAGCCAGAACTGAGTTTCCTACTTCGAACACAGATACAGCTAAAGAGGAGATGGTCTACTTGCACATTTTCCTATTAGAGGATGTTCATGTCCCCAAGAGAGCCCATCTTTCCTGTGATAAGCTAGCAGCACACAGGTGCCCACAGTCATCTGGAACCTTGTCAGAACCTGGAGAAACGTTGACTGTGGTTTTTCATAACCATTTTCACACTAAGATTAGACTCCAATGATGAAGATATTATGTGCCCTATGTCCTGAAAGCTGATCCAAACTCCCAAGGTAGTGTGTTTAAATACTGTGCTTCTATGGTCTACATTTCAAGTACTGCACAAGCCAAAGTTCAACATTATACATGAGGCCTGCTCTACGGGCACCAAAACCTGGGCCTGACTTGAGGCTCCACCATCGGATTACATCAGTATCTCCATCTTAGGCATGGCAATAACAATGACTACATTTCCATTTTTGGATTAGGAGCCAGCAACCAGTTATGTGATTGTAGACTAATATTCTAAATAGCCTTTAGTCTATAGTTTCTTTCATACAATTGAACTTGAGATAGGACTGGAAGCGATGTTGTGGCCTAGGAGGCCTTTTTTTTTTTTTCTTTAATGCTAGTCCTGGGGCTTGGAACTCAGGGCCTAGGTGCTGTCCCTGAGTCTCTCTGTGCTCAAGGCTAATACTCTACCATTTGAGCCACAGCCCCACTTCTAACTTTTTCTGAGTAGTTTATTGGAGGTAAGAGTCTCACGGACTTCGTTGCCTTTAGCTGGCTTCGAACCACAATCCTCAGATCTCAGCCTCCTGATTTGCTAGGATTACAGGCATGGGCCACCAGCAGCTGCTTAAGAAGTCTTCTTTAACCTTCTGGATCTAACCATTCCAAGTTTTGCTGTCCTTCCTCTTGTCAGCTCTCTCTCCATCTAAGCTACAAATACCTCCCAGAATTCCTTCTGAGATTTCTAGAGATAGGAGGAAAAAATATCTAAGGTTAAAAAGTTATAAACCTTTTTTTTTTAAAAACCTAAGAATTCAAATAACTACTTTTAAAAAACACATTTCTAATTATGGCAAGAATATGAAGTGCTAATCTACAGAAACCCTAAATTCTTCTTAGACTCATTAGCTCTTATGCAGAAAATGAATGTGAAAGAATGTTGCAAACTCACAGGGAAAGGCAGGCTCGATCTTTATGCATTAAATACTACTGTCAGCTTCTCTGTGAAGAAAGCCATCTGTTTCCAGATATGTCCACACAGAAATAAATTTTAGCTACTGTCAGTATTTAATAGGTTCCTACTATGAATATGTAGGATAGGATGTCTTAGAAGCTAAAGAGAACACACACACACACACACACACACACACACACACACGTACATTTAGGCTGAGAATTCCACAATCCACAGCAGAAAGGAGAAATACTTCTGTATCAATATTCAAGAGTTGGGAGAAGAGCTATTTGTGGACAAGCAGAGAAAATTCACAGAGGAGACAAGATGAGTCAAGTCTCAGATGAGATAGAAATCAACACATATCTGTAGACTAAGTGACCATCCAATAAAACTACTGGAAGAAGCTGAGTCATGACAGACACTAACACTGCAGGTCACACACTAACATTGGCACCCTATGCCTCTCACCTAGAACAGAGAAAATCCACATTTGTATATACACACTGACGTATAGGAAAAGGCACACTGCCAAGGCCTCAACCTAATCTGTGCTGAGAATCCCAATTCAGATTCATAGCTGGAAGGGGGTGTGTGCTGGCTTCCTGACATGGGCACTGATCTGCCATCAGAGGTAACAGTGATGATGTCCTTCCATATTCTGATCACCACGTGCCTAAAGCAATACAAGCACAGTGCTTTACTCTCCAAAACTGGTGACTGTCCTGTCAACTTTGCTGGCATAAGACGTAAGAACAATAATTGGTAAATGATATTCACTACATTTTCAAATCATTTAGGAGCACATAGAAAACGTACCTATAAGTTTTGTGTGTGCAAAACCAAAAGGCCTTGATTGTTGCAATTAACTCTATAAGCAATGGCATCTTTCACAAACTTAAGTAATTAGAATCCCTGCAGTTGGACCCTGGTAATCTGAATTACTAAGCTTTCCCAATGGTGGCAGATAATCAGCTGAGGTTTGGGAACAAGCCAGTCAGGGAAGTGTCTCTTTCTGTTAATTTCACTTTAATCTCCTGCCCTTTAACACACACCCCTGCCCACAAGACTCCATTCTCAGGGAATGAAGAAGGAAAAAGGATTGGCCACAGGCTGGTTTCAGAGTTTTAATAAGATAGCTATAATTTGATATTTCTCCTTTTTTTTTTTTTTTTTTGCAAAGTTTGTATTAACCCAGAAAAAAAAATCAATTTTTATCAGAGATAAAAGTTGGTAAGCAGGAAGGAAAGACATACAGAATACAGTCACCCAAGACATCTGTTTGCAGAGTAACCTGAAAACAGGGTAAGGGTAAGAAATTTCTCCCGTATTTCAAATTTTAATTGAAAAGTTATTAGCATGAAGAATGCCCCCGGAGACTGAAAAAATGAACTGGGACTCAAGAAGCTTCATCCTTAACAGTCTCAGAGTGCTCCGTCTTGGTCTCTCCTTCTTCCCCTCCCACCATCAGAGCTCCCTCTCTCCCCTTTATAGTACCTTCTCACTAATATACTTCCATAAAAATGATCAGATTCAAACACATGTAAGGCTTTTCTCTTTCCCCTGAAAACAGCTTCCTCACATCCCAAGGAGAGTAAGGTGAAAATGGTACAGCACACATGAGCCAGAACCCTAATAATTTCTCTCCAAAGTACTCCATAATGCATGCCACAATTTGGAGAAGTTAAGACAGTCTGGTACTAGTAACTTAGCATTATTATTATCATCATCATCATCATCATCATCATCATCATCATCATCATCTTTAACTTTTGTTCCTGAAAACCAAGTGGCCAAGATCAGACTTTTAGAGGTGTTGGGGAAGTGGTAGGCTGGGATGCCTTGTAGGTGTGCATCACTGGCAAGAGTCAGGAGTAGTAATATGCAGGAGGAAGCAGTAGCTTCTACATGCCTTCAAGGCCAGTCAGTCCAGTCCTAGGGGCTAGATGCCACATCTGCTCTGCAGTTCTGGTTCTGTGGTATGGTTTCAACCTGGACTTCCTGATCCCTCTGGAGGAAGCCAACTCCACCAGGATAGGATGCTTCTACCTGGGAGGCAGGCTTTACTTCTCTGGGCTGAGTTCCTTACCTGGAAGCGTAAGATGATGGTCCAAATGAGGCCAAGGGTCAGCCGGTGGTTCCCATCCACAATGTCGTGGGAACCCATGTTCTCAAGATGGACTCTCTGTTCCTTCAGGAACTGGAGGGCCTTGTCCACATTCTCCAGACAGTGGATGCGCATTCTTCCCTTGGTGGGTTTAGGCTGGAAAGGAGAGAACACAGGGGGAACGGGTCATACAATAGACTAGGGATGGGCCCCAGGCCACCAAAGTCTGTCACACGCTGCTTCCCAAACCAAAAAGACCACAAGTTCATCTGTTCCAAGAGCAGTGTTTGTGTCACAGCTTTAGAAAAATACACTTAAAGGAATGGTAACCAATTGCTCCTTAGGTTTGTTGAATCGTGGAAGTTACACAACTTACTACTGAGCAGGAATGGGAAGTTTAGAAAAGTTCAGCACTAACTGCTATCCACACAACTACTTCAGGTTTTTTTGTTTTGGTTTGGTTTTTTTGGATTGGTTGTGGGGCTTGAACTCTGGGCTTGGGTGCTGTCCCTCAGCTCTTCAGCTCAAGGTGAGTGCTCTACCACTTGAGCCACAGTGCCACTTCTGGTTTTCTAGTGGTTTACTGGAGAAAAGAGTCTCACAGACTTTCCTGCTGGGGCTGGCTTTAAACTGTGATCCTCAGATCTCAGCCTCCTGAGTAGCTAGAATTACAGGTGTGAGCCACTGGCGCCCAGCTATTTCAGATTTTTTTTTTGGGGGGGGGGGGGGGTCCAGTAGTGGGGCCTGAACTCTGGGCCTGGGCGCTGTCCCTCACTTCCGGCTTTTTTCTTTTTGCTTATGTGGTGCTGAGGAATCGAACCCAGGGCCTCATGCATGCAAGGCAAGCGCTCTACCACTGAGCCACCAGCCTTATTTCAGATTTTTTACTTGTTTTAAATGTAAACATAGTTTTGCCATCTGTAGACCTGGGTCATTTCCTAAGGTTGGCTCACAATGAAAATGGGACATTACAGGCTGGGAATGTGGCTTAGTGGTAGAGTGCTTGCCTAGCATGCACGAAGCTCTGGGTTCGATTCCTCAGTATCACATAAACAGAAAAGGCTGGAAGTGTTAGCCTTGAGCAAAAGAAGCTTAGGGTCAGTGCCCAGGCCCTGAGTTCAGTCCTCAGGACTGGCAAAGAAACAAAGAAAAAGAAAACGGTACATTTCCCCTGGCCCAAATTAAAAAAACTCCCATAATGCTTTAGTGAAGACAGGGAAGGGTTAAATAAAAAGGGATGACTCACTGAAAAGAAAGGAAAAGGGAGGAGGAAACAAGAATAGTCTAATTTGAATACAGCCCAAGTTCCTTTGTTTTACCCAGTTATACCAAAACCTAAAGGAGGTCTTTGAAAGATGATCATTTAAGTAAAGCAAAGGACATAAGCATATACAATGATATACTCACAATGTAGCTCCACTATATGTACTACATGTCTACCAATTTGCTATTCTTACATATTTATCCACTACACACACACACACACACACACACACACACACACTTTTCAATGACTCATTATTATCTACCATGTCAAAAGCAAGCCCATGTCTCCTTCCCCTACTGCTCTATTTCCATCTGTCCCTCTTTGGGAAAGGCTACTCCTTGGGCTGATGTCATCATCTCACAAAGATGCCACCAGGATGTGCATGCCCTGCCTGGCATGAGAACACATTTAACCTAGCTACGCAGAAGCTCCTTTCCATAGCCACCTCACTCTGGCTCACCCACCTTCCAAGGCTCCAGCCAAGGTACATCTTTCCCTCCTTGGAGGCATTTCCAATCATCCTGCTCTCACATGTCTCTTTCCTCAAAACTCCACACACTGGTGGTCTAGACCACAAAGCCCAGACTTGTTTCTTTTATTCTTGTTTCTTTTATTGCCCCAGTAACTTCCAATGGGACTGCTAGTTTTGACAAGAGAGCAAAGAAAATGCCTTGGGCTTCTGCTACACTACTCTCGATGGTGTTTAGTTCAGTTCTGAACATAAGGCATGTGTACTGTGACCTGAAAACCCACCCACAAGTCAGCTGGCCTCATGGAGAAAGGCAGACCAGGTGGGCAGCAGTCAGATGCACACCAAAGTAAAGATGGCAGCCAACCCTGTGCTAGTATCTTGTCCATTTCCTGCCTTCCCTCTGTAGTTAAGAGCCTCAGTTATTCACCAGGTAGAAAACATCTTTAGGCAGGCTACTTGGATTACAAGTAGCCATGTTGAATCTGCCCAGTCTCAAGACAACTGTTATTTTTTGCTTTTCTCTTACAGAAAAAGAACACAGAGTGAAAGAACTCACTCTGACATTGAGGAAATAAGGTTACAAGCTAAGGCCTTAAACAACTAGTTAATTCCACTTCTTTTGTAAGTTTTAGCAAGAATTTATTTTAATGTCACGGGGTTAAGGGAGAAATAGAAAAAGAAACATTTCCTGCTCCCCATGCAGGAAATAGGAATTAAAGACTCCATAAATTCTACTGTCAAACAATAGCAGTGGAAAAAGAAATGTTCCTACAAATCAAGTTTTGCACATAACAACAGCCTTCAACACATCCAAAAAAGAATAAAGGAGAATAATTTCTTTTTGGAAACTTCAAAACTAAAAAAATTAAGGTATTTGGGAAATATCAAAAATTGTTATTTGCTATGCCAGGTGACAGTACATGAAAATTGAATAATCAAATAAGGCAGGAAAACCATTACATGTGAAATGAAATAGAAAGGGGAGACTTCAATCTCAAGTTCTGCTTGATGCTGGTGGCCTCTCTTTCCAAGGTCTACCCACCAGCCTCCTGCCATCACACCAGGTCTCCTCTCGGGAGGAGATGTGTGCAAGGGTCGATGCTGCCTTGGTGAAGTGGGTAAGGCTGCTCCTCTGGTTGAGAAACACATGACTCTGCACACGGTGCTCACACATGTTCTTTGGCTTCTCTCCATCATCTCCTGGATCACCTATCAATTCTCCTGGCTAAGACAGCACCTATACACAGCAGCCCCTGCTCTCAACCCTAGATGGCTTCATGGTAGAATGAGGTTCTTGGTTAAAGTCTGTTCAAAGGCAAGGGAAGGATTAGGTGCCCTTCTGAAAGGCATGTAAATTATAGAACAGAGGCTTCTGGTAAGTCTTTCCGCTATTCAGAAGCTGTTTTTTCTCCTATCCTCCTTTCGCTCCCTTGTCTCTCCTCTCCACTCCTCTCTCCCCTCCCGACTCCTTCTTTCCCCTTCTCTTCTCTGCCAGTGTTTATGCACCCTGGAGCGGGACAGTGAGTGATCATCTCCCTGGGCTCCACCAGCTCAAAGGCAGAAATATTCTGCTGGGGTAGCAGGTGTTCCCATGAGCGCACCTCCACCAGAGCACAAAGGTTATTTCCTAACTAGATAAGCAGAACTGCACAGGTGGTAGGAGGACATAAGAGGAGACAAGGCGTCAATAGGGACGGATGGCCTGGTTTCTCCGCAGCAGAGCATAGCACCACACTATTTTTTTTCAAAAAACCCAGATCCTGAATAAGCACTTGTCTGGCTCGCATTCAGATAATGCAGTAGAGAACGTCCTCTCAGTATCTCCTTCACACCAATAGCAAAGTATAAAATCTCAGTGGAATGTGTATGCATTTGCACGTGAACACAGGAAGGGAGCTTTCCCACAGTATGGCGCATATTCTAGGACAACACAGTAGTGCTAACAGGCAATACTAGATGAGCTAAAGATTGTCCACTCCTTAACTTGGGGTTCATTTTGCTTAACATCAACTTATCTGACCATTTCTGCTTGTCTCAGACAAAGGTTTTTTTTCTTTCTTGCTATTGTGTCTAACATATTCATAAAATATTTCTTTGTTGCTTTGTATGTCCCTCCGCCATGGTATAACCCATTTTCACTGTATTTGATGTTGGTATAATTTGTGGAGGGGAAGGGAAAAAAACAAATTGTTTAAATAGGGATAACAGGTGGACCCATTGCACCAATGAGATGTACAAGTTGTTATGTCAAAAATGAACTTTACAATTTTGGCATGGGGGGAGGAGTGTGGAGGAGAGATAGGAAGGGGAAACAAAGGAGGAGGCAATAATGCTTGATAAGAAATGCACTCATGGGCTGGGAAGGTGGTTCAGTGGTAGAGCGCTTGCCTTGCATGCCTGAGGCCCTGGGTTCGATTCCACAGCACCACATAAGCAAAAAGAAAAAAAGCTGGAAGTGGCGCTGTGGCTCAAGTGGTAGAGCGCTAGCCTTGAGCTGAAGAGCTGAGGGACAGCGCCCAGGCCCAGAGTTCAGGCCCACGACCGGATCCAAAAAATTCACTCATTACCTTGCCCATGTAATTGTAACCCTCTGTACGGTATTTTCACAATAAAAATAAAGACTGCCCACTCCAAATCTGGACACAAATCAAGTCATCAAAGGCCAGCCATCAGAAAAATTATGGCATGAGAGAAAGGAACATAAATCAAAATGGTATGCAAACGTTTTCTCACCAATGATTAGATAACACCAGAAGAAACGGTGAAAACAAAAATGAAATGAAGAGGGGGGAAGGAGTGACAGTCCAAAAAGACATGTACTCATGAACTGACTTGTGCTGTGTAGATGCACGCACATGTGTGATTTTCCTATTGTTCCTGGCCTTTAAACTTTTAAAAAATACTAAATAGGAGTAAACTAGATTTATATATCATGTTTTTGCTGGGTAATGCTGTATAAGTAATGAATGATTTAAATACCAAAGTTACAGTTTCTAGTAAATCACTTGACTCTTTATCTGTAAAATGGGACTGCTGACAATTATCTCATCTGGTTGTTGTTATTGTTTTTAATGGTTACTTTGGTCTGAACGAGGGGCTTGTGTTGCCTGGCAGGTGCTCAGCCTGAGTTATACCCTCAACCCTTGTGACATTCTTAAATCTAGTGTCTTTCCATTAGCAAAGGGCATCTCAAGTCATTTTCTCCAAAAACCTCTACCTAAAAAAGGGGACTCTTCTCCCTATGCCACTTTTCATCAAACAATAACACATCTCTCTGTCCACAACAAAAATCCTCGGAGTCTAGAACTCTCCCAGGAAGAACCAGAAACACTGATGTGTATCAATGGAAAAGCAAACTTAGAGCTGGCAGAGAAATGTACCAATTATAGGGATAACAATGTTATTCTCCCAATCCTG